ATACAACTAACTGGGAAACTAAACTACCTTACTGCGTGGGACTGAGTCTTTCTTGAGAACCTAATAATTTCTGAAAAACTCAAGAAATTCTCAGCAATTTATGCTCCCCGAAGGTTCATTAATTCTGCTCATAAAAGTCTGGTTCCTATTCTCTGCTGGATGAGTCCAGTCACATCCTCGCACGATATTTCTCTCAGATTCATCGTAATATTAATCTCCCATCTAAGCTTATATTTTCCGAGTGGTTTCTATCCTTCAGACTTTCCTATCAAAAATCTGCATGCATTTCTCTTCACTACCATGCAAGCTACATGTCCCACAAATCTCACCCTTTTTTAGTTTACTCATCCTAATAATATTTCGAAAGGTTTACAAAAGGTGTAACTCCCCATTATGCAATTTTCTCGAACCTCCTCTTACTTCCTCCCTCATCGGCCCCACTATTATCCTCTGTGTCCTTTTCTCAGATCCCTTTAGCTTACGTTCCTCATTTCATGCGAAATATTAAGTTCCGCGCTCTTTCAAAGCAAAAGGTAAACCTAACTCGTTCGTACAAATTCTTGAAATCTATAAATAGCCGATGTACTGCTCCAGTACACTTCCACTCTCTCCTTCATTATTTAAGAAATGAAAGGAACCTGACCAATTGTTATTCTGTTACACGTTGAAATCCACACTGCTTATTCTACGTATGGATTTAACATTTAAGGAATTATGTTGGAAAATATTTTCAATGAAGTTGCTAACAATGATATGCCTTGATAATTATTACAATGGGATTTGTAGTATCATTTGTAAAAGAACCAATTCTAATATAATTATTAACTTTGTACATTGAAGTCTAATGCTTTGCTTTCTGGTTGGATTAAATCTGCAAATTGTATCAAAAAGTTGGCTATTTATAAACTTTATTTCCTCTAGTTCCTATATAAATATTAAAAGATGTATGCTTGGCACTAACTTCACCGACAAACTGCGGTCGCTCAGTCGGTATAGTTCGCATACGAATAGCTAACCTGTGTATATGCCACTTTGCCTAACGTGGTGAAGTTCATGTACGTCCAGTACTTGAGAGAATTTTTTTGTCATCTGTTTAAACTAATGTGGGAATCTACAAGCGGATCGCCATTTTCATCTTCTACCAAGTAGTTTTAGGTTGGTAGTGGTTACTAAGTTCATTTCTGCCTCTACGTAATTCTCTGTTCTTCGTTTTACTCTTTCCTTCAAGCTCGTTAATATTGTCTTCCTGCCATTACATCTTTCTCCTTATGAAATAGCTACAACCTTCGCGTCTTACATGGCTGAAATTATAAACATTGCTTGTCTTGCATGCTGTAGCCGTTACATTTTAACTTGTTTTTTAATCCAATAGTTCGAACATTTTTCATCAAACCGTAATTTATCCTGCTTCAGCTAGTAATAACATAGACTCTCTTTGGTTGAAATGTTGATGTACTCTTTAATACGTCACCCGAACTATGGATGTCATCATCATCATCATCATCATCATCATCTACATTTTCCAAACCTGAGAACCTGTTGGAGATTTTGATTTGTTACGTCCTTTACTCTCCGCCTCTTTTTTTCTTCTTGAGAATGAATCTCTCTACATCAAATTGCTACTTTTCTCGTTTACCTACTGGCAGTTTCTTGCTAATTTTTACAGCAGTCAGTCAACAAACACCAACTTTTCTGCAAGACAGGACATCAAGTGTGCAGGAGTGCCGTCTCATATTTGCCAAGACGCGATCAATCTGTGTGCCTTTCTAGCAGGAGAAGACCAATTGATGTATGAACCCTGCGAAGGGAACAGAGTAGTCTTGCAAAATTATTAATTTAATAAGGCAAAGTTCAAAGCTATAACTTCTTTATAATTACTAATACCATATAAACTCTCATTCTCAACTGCAGCTTTGAAGATAAAGTTTCTATCTTTACTGGCCTTGAAATTTTCTAATAAAATTTCACGCATTACTTAGATAATTGACCGAACACGCTACAGTATCCCGTAGTATCCCACATATCATCGAATTTATCCTTAATGGGACATGCACGTTCGGAGAAATAATATCATACCAGCGACCTCCGACCTCTGACCTCGTAGCTTTTTATACTTATTATTAACAAACTTCACTCTCTGAACTGCTGATACTTTTTACTTATATCCAAAATATCCTATATCTAATTTATGATGGCGTTCCCATTGCTGTAGAAAATATATAATCTTCAGTTGGCTCAGCGAGAGCACTGTCCCATTTGACCTCCTGTACTCCCATACAATACAGCTTACACGTTGTTTATTCTCTTGCTGCTGTTCTCAATGAGTTTCCACGTTCCACGTTCCAAATATCACACCTATTTTCTGTTCCTTAAGTAGTCCCAAATAATCTGTCCGAGGTCCTGTGTAACATTACATGACATGCTGATATATTTAGGGTGGAATTATTATCCCCACTTGAAACCCCAAGCTGAGGGAAAATAGTTCATTCTAAGCTGTTGAAATTATTTACTTGTTTAATGTGTTTAGCGTATATCATAATTTCTCGTCTTTTAGTGTGTGTTTCTCCAAAAGCCGGTACTTTAGTCTTATTTTTTATAAATTAAGCAGCTTTTCAATAGTTTCCTTAACGTTTATTTCCTATTATCTTTCGATCGTCAACAAAGAGAAAGGTAGTGATTCTGAATTTTGGAATTAAAATGACGTTTGTTATGCAGCGGTATGGTCTACAATCCCACTGCTATCGGCTACTACGCGCCTTTGGAGAGACAGCTTAACTGACTCAGGAACTCCGAAAACCTGCGCCTGCTGGAAGGATCAGTAGGGACTGGAGGTACTTCTAGGAGGGTAGTTCTGGGTCGTGCCCGAATCTAATCTTCACTTAGTATTATTCGTATCGTTTCTAGCCTTCAGAAGTTGTGAGTTCTCGGGAATAATCTTGTAACACTGGGGTCCATTAACATCTACATTTATTTACACCACTTGCTTAATAATTAGGATGTGAATTTGTTACACAACAACACGGTTATCTAGCCTTAGGTCGGTCCCTACATACATCTCTCTGCTTCGACAGCAATACTACATGCCTGCACTTACTTTGATTACAAAGAAGTCTGACGGTAAAGATGCAGCTCATCGTCGGTTTCATGGCCCCCTTCGTGCGAGATTCACGTAACGCTGTCAGTAGGCTACCGGCCCTAGCCTCTCCTAACAATTTTGATCTCCGTGACCATCGTTACCGACCTCAGGACTATACAACTGTATAACGAAGATCGCTGCCAGTCAGCACTTCCTCATACTTTCCATCAATATTAAGTTTATCATGTTCGAGTCTAGGCCTAGTCATGGGATTTGCGGTGGACAAAATGTCGCTGGTGTAGGCTGCGCCATAGCTCAAGTGGTTAGTCGCTGGCTTCCCACCGCGGCGACCCGGGTTCGATCCCTGGTCTGGTCAAGTGAGATTTGTCGTGGATAAAGTGGCGCTGGGGCAGGTTTTCTCCTAGTACTTCGGTTTCCCCTGCCAATCTTCATTCCACCAATTTCTCCACAATCACCCTCACCTGTCATCAGGGGCTGGTACAATAGGCCAGAAATGGCCGCAGTACAAAGGACTTAGTCCCACCCCACTAGCAATAAAATAACATCCAAAGATACAGAAATTTCAGAACAAAGTGCTGAGGAGAAGAGTAAATGTCCCTTGGTACGCCAATAATAATGACATCCATAGGGATCTTGACATTAGGATGGTCACTGCCAAAATTAAAATGAAAGCTAAGAAGCACGAAGGTCAGCTTCACCAGCACAGCAACGTGGAAGCGATACAGCTTCTTGGCGATAGGACAGTGAGAAGGTTCAAGAGGCTCAAGCCGTTTGTAAGTGTAAGTGCACATTAGTGTAAATAGTGCGATGCCGACTCAAACCGTTTGAACTAATGTAGTACAAGTGAGCGTTAATGTAAATATACTGACATGGGTGTGACAGCAGTGTGCTCAAGGCATCAGATGCTGGGACACACCAGTGGGCGTAGTCTCAAAGTTTAGTTATACTCGTAGTAGTAGTAGTAGTAGTAGTAGTAGTAGTAGTAGTAGTAGTAGTAGTAGTTTGAGTGAGAATAGAAATGCTCCCTAGTCTCGGACTAGTTGCATTGTTAAAACGTCAAAAACTCTGTATATTCAATTTCGTGGCGAATTTAGAATATCGTAACTGGGAAATATGGTACATCGCGACTGGGTTAGATTTCCTATGTAAAGGAAAAAAAAAGGTAAAGTTGTCCTGTACTTAACTAAGTAAGCCCTACGCCATGGAGGCGTTTAGAGAAATGGATGTATAGACCCATATTTTCTTGACCTCGGCGCTGGTTAGAGGTGAGTGGTCAGCTTCACGTCCAGGCCGCTTTGCACCCGGGGAAAGAGCCCCCTGGTATCCATTGGATAGAAGGTTGGATGGACCCAAAGGCCGGTCTCAACTACATGGAAAAGTGAAAATTCTTGACCCCACCGGGACTCGAACTCTGATCCCTCGATCGTCTAGCTAGTAGCTAGTCGCTATACGACTGCGCTATCCCGGCTCACAGATTTGCTACTTAACCTTTGAANAAGGTAAAGTTGTTCCTGTACTTAATTAAGTAAGCATTACGCCATGGAGGCGTATAGAGAAATGGATGTATAGACTCATATTTTCTTGACCTCGGCGCTAGTTAGAGGTGAGTGGTCAGCTTCACGTCCAGGCCGCTTTACACCCGGGGAAAAAGCCCCCGGTACCCATTGGATAGAAGGTTGGATGGACCCAAAGGCCGGTCTCAACGACATGGAAAAGTGAAAATTCTTGACCCCACCGGGACTCGAACTCTGATCCCTCGGTCGTCTAGCTAGTAGCTAGTCGCTATACGACTGCGCTATCCCGGCTCACAGATTTGCTACTTAACCTTTGAAATTGAAAATGGGTCTTTAAATATATTGAGAAAAATTAAAGAAATTTATCTATTCATTTTTTCTCTCCGCAGAAGGAACGGATCGGTGTTGTGGACGGGTCGCAGGCATCGGGGTTCCTCTTCTACACTCGGCTTGGCCTCTCAGTCACAGAGCAAGCTGGTTTACCAAAAGACAAGGTGAGCTTTCTGCATTTTGAATGATTTTCCCGAAATCACTTTTTTAAAAAAAATATTCCTTTCCTACACGTGCACTTGTTTATGTATGCGTTGATTTTATATATATTTATTTGTATTATATTCCCATGACTCTTACCACATCACAAATATTATACCTTATAGCATCGAGTAATACACCTGACGTGTATTGGGGAAATACTCCGTTCTATTCTTTAACTGGACACTGGCCATCCTGAGTTATTTCCCTGGTTACACTCAGTATTTACAGGTAAGTGCAGAGAGAGTGCTTTAAAACACGCCAATACGACTCATTCTCAAAATTCCTTCCAGTTCCCTAGATAATTCCTTTCCCTCGCTCAACATTCCTAACCGCCTCACTAATGTTTTCAAAATTGACATCTACAATACAAGAATGAGAGCTTATCTACTTTACAACAATGTAGGTGTCGGTGCATCAATTTACATGTTGGTAACAATGATACTGATATATTTTGGAAACACAAAAATCGTAAGTCTATCAGAACCTGAAATTATAAAACAACAAATGTTTCAGAACAAACAGAGAGATGTACAGGATGATTCAGAAAGATGGACACAATTTCAATTGGCTATATTTCCTGAACTACATATTGCATTTGAATTCTGTAAAGTGCATTTGAAAGAGGATGCTGTAAAGTTTCTAATATTACCGCTAGAGCACTCCAGCACCGCGTCAGTTGTAAGCGAGATGGCTACTATGCAACACAAGAATTTTTTGCATTCGTGAGTTCAGTAAAGGTGAGTGTGCGACTGCGGTGCAGCCTGCATTTCATCGTAAGTTTAACATCCAACCTCCAACGAGGAAGAGCATTTATCGTTGGAATAAACAATTTGATAAAACTGGCTCTCTGTGTAAGGATAAAAGCCCGGGCCGATCGCGTGTATCGGAGAACGTGGGATAAATTCAGCTACCGTCTTGATGTTATCCGTGCAGCCGGAGAGGGGCACATTGAACATCTATAAACTTCCGTATATGTATAATCAAATGTACTTTACAGAATTCAAATGCAACATATAATTCAGGAAATATAGCCAATTGAAATTGTGTCCATCTTTCTGAATCACCCTGTATTTCAAATCCAGCGTAATAGTTTTTTCTTTTGAATCGAATATATCAGAAATTCATCAATTCCCATGTTATTTCATATATTTGACTTTTTACGAGCGACGTAGCTCTGTATCGCTATTCATAACAAAATATACAAATTTAAAAATCCGGGACGAAAAAGGATTTTGTAATTTTACAGCCTACAGCATTCAAAGGTGGGGAGCGCGGTAGTGTAGTTTGTTGAGGCAATATGCTATAATTCGGAAGGTGACGGGTTCGATTCCGGATGAAATCTTTTTTTTTTTCAGTTGACGTAATATTTCCAGCAGCTCTATGGCTCTGGGGTTAACTCAGCCACTAACAGAAATGAGCACCAGGAATCTTTCTGGAGATAAAGGACAGCCGGCGCATAAGGCTGACAACCTCAACGCCAGCTGTGAGGCGATTGTCTAGAAAATATGGGAGCCTCGACGTCTCACAACCCTATGGGCCTCCATGGCCTCTTACAGGGATAGCTTTACAAAATTCAAAGTTTGTATGAAGTGTGATTATTCATGAGGTGGAATGACACGGAATAATGGAAAGGGGGAACGGGAAACTTCCAGAAACCTGTACCCTGTCTAGGTGAAGGACAGATGTGATGGTTATATTGTCAGCTACCTACCATTAACTGATTAAGATGCAGGATTTTGCTCTGTTCATTTTCGGTCATAGTAAATGAGACTGCCATTATTTTCATGGACGCCGGCGGGGAAGAAGCCAGATATTGCCCCTCATCGCCTAGTATTTGAAAAAACAAAATAATAGAAAAGTAGAATACCAAAAATTGAAATTATTTAAAAATTAATTTTTGTTACATCCTGAGTAAAAGAAAGGGGTTTATCAACTATGTCAACAAAATAGGCTTAAAGGAAACTTTGTAAATAAATTTTCTGGAATTTGAAACTCGCAATGGCGCCCATGAATATTTTATATGTGTACTGACCTTGCGTTATTAGCACACATGTTCACATTTCTGTCTTTACGACATTTAATTTTATTCTCCGTTAATATGCCTTTTCTTGGCTGAAAATAATTGTGACGCAACTATTTCAGATTCCACTTTCAAATGCCTACTATTATTTATTTAGGAAGAAAAAAGGTAAAGCTCTCCCTGTAACAGATCGTGGAGGCCCATAGGGATTTGAGACGTTGAGGCTCCCACATTTTCTAGACAATCGGCTCACAGATTGCGGTAAGGTTGTTAGCCTTACGCACCTGCCGCTTTTTAATCCCCAGGAAGATTCCTGGTACTAATTTCTATTAGAGACTGAGTGGACACCAGGACCATAATGAGGCTGGAAGGATTAGGTAAATTGAAAAAAATCCACCAGACTCGAATCCGCGACCTTCCGGCTTGTGACATATTGTCTCAACCAACTACGCTACCGCCAATTTATTACTACTGTCATGACTTCCTATGATTTACACATTCTCATAGGCAAATTTACAGATTAATCTGTTAGTGAGAAAAAAGGTTATTTTTCAACTGACAGAGAGAGCAGAACCTCTCTCTGCAGGCCGCAAACTTTCCCGAACGCATAATACAAGGCAGGCAATGCCGACCGAAGTTTGAAATGGGAACATCCTGCATACGCGCCAGTCCCATATTATGACCGCTAAAAATGAGGTAACAAAATGTGCCGTGATAAGAAGGCCTTCATTTCGAATTTCGATATGGACGCCGTTTCTTCTGACCTTATTTTTCACGGTTTATTTCAGCAACAACAGAAAAGTCCTGGTATTGTAATTAAAATAGGCCATATATGTCATTCTCAAAATTAAGACCGGCAACGTCATGAAAATTAAAAGTGAATTAAAATGTTGGAAACCTATAAAGAAGTATAAATTATGAAGAATGCCGTCTTCTGGGATGTGGTGCCATGTAGATCTTGTGGGAACCGACGTTTCGGAGGAATGTGTTGCCTCTATATTCAGGGTAGAATAATTCGGACCTTTTTTAGGAAGTTTAATGACATGGATTCCCTCCTCGTCATGTTAGATGATTTTTTTTTATTTCTCTTAACGCATATCGGATCCGACAGCAGAATTCCATACCCAAGGCGGGAGTAAATCTGGACTTTTCAGATTCTGCCGCACATGACATGTCCAGGGGTAGGGACTAGCTCTACCGATCAGGACCAACTGAATAGGTTTTACTTGAAGACGGAGACAGGATCCAGTCTCTGAAACGTTATGTTTTAAAAAATAAACAGGACGGATTTTAGATAAAGACAAGACTATGGATAATGTCCAGAAACATAATATTTTAATAATAAGGTGGAATAGTGCATTGGTAAGTGGATGATCTTTCTTTCTGAATTCACAACACTTTCTGCTTAAAAGATAGGAAAACTTCTCTTTATACGTACAGCGAGTTAAAATGGATTAATGGCCTTAAAGAGTATGATACTCACTTGAATGGGCAAAACAGTTCCATTCAACAATGTCTAAAATTTTGTGCTGGCTGTGATATGGGGGCGAGTTTTGCATGTGACTGCATACAAGGTTAACAGTGCAGTATGCATTAATACAAGATTAATGTGCGTCATGTACTTTTGCTTACACATCCCTTGCGTGTGTTATGACCGTTTTAGTAGACTCACTATGTGTACTTATGTACAAGTACTACCAGCGAAAAAGCAGTGCTAATCGGCGTTGTGAAGCTCAGTCAATTTGAAATCCGTTTAATGGTTTTACTCACATAATGGAAAATTATTTATCTGCTCGGGAAATGGCAGACATACATATCACATATGACCGCGCCAATGGAAATTCTTGGGAAGCACGTGGCCTCTACGCAGGACATTATCTACAGCACAGAATTCCTTTCCCTACATTACAAACCAAACTTCACCAGCGGCTAAGCAAATCTGGGCTTTTGCTTGAAGTGCGTTGGACTGCGGAAAGCCTCGATCAGTTCGAGAAGATTTGAAGAAGATCCCTGAACCAGTGTGCGAAGAATTGCAGTTGGTCCGGAGAATCCTCCATGAACACTCACTTTACCCATACCACATCCAGCGAGTGCAAGTTTTCACTCCTCCTGAGCTTCTTGCAAGGGTGGTATTTACCAGTGGTTTCTCACAAAATGTGTTGCAAAGAAACAGTTTTGGGATAATATCCTACCTACTGATGAGGTGGGATTCACAAGGAACACTATTGCGAACTCTCATAATGCCCATGTTTGGGTAGATGACAATCCCTACGCCACAATGCCATCATGATAACACTGATTTTCCATCGATATGTGATGGGAAACTTAGGTGATCAGCTCTTTAGGACTATTTTTTTTACCTAACAGACTAATAGGTTCAGTGTACCATAGTTTTTTTGGTGAATGATTTAACAGTGCTTTTGGAACGTGTGCCTCTTCATCAACGACAAGAACTATTGTTCGTTCATGATAGGGCGACACCTCATTTTTCCAACATTGTCAGATAACACCGGAACCATATTTTGGGTGAAACTTTATAGGACACGAAGTCCCGTTCAACTGGCTTTCACGATATCCTGACCTTAATTCTCTGGATTCTTGGCTGTAGGAACGCCTAAAACCTTCGGTGCATTCAGTGCCGATCAGTGACTTAGAGGCATTACCGCAAAGAGCAGAAAATGCCTCTCAGGAAATTCTAGTGAAACCAGGATTTTTCAACAGAGTGGCCACCTCTGTGCAAAGAAGAGCTGGGAGTTGTGTTGAAATGCATGGGAACAATGTGCAGCATGCCCCATATTTTAGCAGGCATTGATTTCTGGTCGTGTATTGACTGGAAATTTTTTGCTCATTTAAGTGAGTACTATACCCCATAAAGACTGGAACCCATTTTTAACAACTTTTATCGGCTGATGAACTTCTATAGAAGCATTCAGAATGTTCTACAACACACTAATGAACTTAAGAACGGAATTCGACTGTCACTGAAATGTTTGCTTTTTATGTAGGAACTGAACAGCATGTCTCCGTCATTTTCCCTTAAGCTAGTCACCTCTCTTCTATCACTGGAATGGAAGTGCTTTTGCACAGTGCAAATAAAGATAAATAACGCTAATAGTGTGAAATATACCTGCGTATACATATTTAACACTTACTTTATCGCCACATGCTAGACGAGTTGTTGATACGTGTAGTTAATAAATAATTATACGTACTTGCCTCAGTCCATCGCGATATTTTGAATTCTAAAGAGACTAAGTACTAATAAATTAAACGCTGTCTCATTTAGCTGGCTTGGCTTTTGTGTTGTAAGGAGAGAATTCTTAAATTTTTCTGAACATTTTATACCAACATGAAAACTGAATATTCCCCGAGATTCCGATATTTAATTTGAACTGTCTGAATATCTAAATTCTAGTGAATATTCAGTGCTTCTTTCAGATGGTTAACTACATCATTAAAATTTATAATTCTCAGTTCCTCCTGATAATGTTGCCAATTCCAAAACTTGTGTAAGAATTCTGCCCTACTGGGAAAGTTCAGTTTGGAATGTCTATATTACATAAATTTGACGAATTCGAATAGGATCTAATCGTGTCAGATGAGCGTTTGTTCAGTCTGCTGAAACGGCAGAATATTATACTAATTATAAGCAGTTATAGCAACCGGTTAACACCTTTCATCTCGAAAGCTCTTAGCTCAGTTATACATATTTCGACGTTCCTAACATTGTGAATCCCATTAACTTTTAAGAGGCGGCAGAACACATCCTTCTGCCTATTACAAATATGTAGGAATCTGCGCGTTGTTTGTCGTTTTGATCCCTTACCAATCAAAATAATGACATCTATCCCCTCTAAAATGCTCTTATGCCTCGACACAAGGTCTTGTTTGTCCCTTTCAATCTTATCCATTTTGTCTTTGAGATTTTTACTTTTCTTCGTGAAAGTTCTACAGTGTTAATGTGTAACTTCTGATTTATGGAGAAGTCTGAGCTCAAGAATGTTCTGCTGCTCCCTAACTGTGATTTATATTGTGACGATTTATGGGCGAGACTAATAATAACGGGATTGGGGTTAGATGGTTGGATTTATTAACACCTTCTTGTACACTCACTCATAATGACAATCAATTACAGTAACTCAAAATGATTGACTGCTTAGGACTCGTTCATTCTGATCTGATGTGATCTAATCTGATCTGATCTCTCTCTGTTCTGCTCTGAAGTACGACTGACAATTCTGAGTCTGAGTCTTAGTCTTGAGTCTTGTGTTACGACCGACGGTCAGTCAGCCAGTCTGTCTTGGAATAAAGCACCCACCTGGACTTACGACCAGTTCTTTTATTACTGTCAGACAGTTGCGGGTTTGTTGATATGGCGGGCTCTCTCTGAGGAGAGGACGGGTCTGTTGTGTGCAATTACTGCTGGCCTACTCCAGAGCGGTCATTTTCGGGTCCGAGTCCCGTGGGACTTGTGACCATATATTGCTGCTACAGATTCGAGAGTTTCTCAAACCTTCATTCTCAAATTCAAAGTTACTTTACGACTGGTTGTTTACCGCCAATCAGTTTGTCTCGGCGCCAGGCCCCTTGAGGCCACCGACCATAGATTTTTTTACCAACTGAACTCCTGTGGTAACAGTCACTATGTAGCATCCTCTCTGACGAGATGATAAGTTTGTATCTTACGAATATGTACCTTTATTCTGATCTGAATGGCCTCGTATATAGCGGAAACGCCTGTTGATTCCAAAGCGACGTGTTGGTTTCCAAGAATCTGTTTTCGTGGAAACATCTTTCAATTCATATCACAGGAAACTTGTTCCGTAACGAGTTGGTTTCCAAGAATCCATCCCTAAGGAAACGTGTTTATCAACTGGTTCTGTCAACGCGTCTGCATGTCACAATATGTGAACATTCTCAGATAATCTCCATTAATTATTTTGGATGTTATAACCATTGGATTTAAACTGAGTCCTTGAATATAGCAGTTTTTCGGAAACTTAGGTCAAAAACTAGTGTAGCAATTCTATTTCATAGTAACTTAGATTCTGTCATAGTGAAGTTTTGATACCCTCTCATATTTTTGCAAGTTTTCGAATCTGCAAATTGATTTTGAATTTTAATCGGATACTCTTTTTGAATTTCACATTGTTTTGCTTCACGTGTTTAAATTTTTCCTTGTCAGAAACTGCATTCAGTTCCAACTTGCAGAAAGTCTTACTCTACCACCTGCAACAGCCACACGATTGTCATCACAGTCGGTATCTATGAAAAACTGGACATTATTTTTACATGAATATCATTTCCAGTCTATCATGATAAGACCAATCTAATTATGTCTCTTGTTATCGGGATAATTTTAATGTAACTTACTGAGCACATTTTAATATTATGGGAATGTTGCACTCTTGAGAGTTCAAGGTTACTACTTTCAGTACATTGTTGTTATTAATATCATATCTACTCACGCTCCAAGTTTCCGCCTGGACAGTGTCTCAGTGCATTTTGTGCTAAAATCGCCTAATGTGGTTTTCCCGTCAAACTTTAGCCATTCATGGAATACAGGCTCTGGAGAGTCTTAAAGGAAATCTTTCGTAGTATCGTTTTTTCTTCAGCTGCACTTTCAGTAAAATAACATTACACCAAAAATCTGTTAGTGTTATATACGATGTTTTTCATAAACTCCACTATTTTTGTTACTGATCTAATACCTTTATGTATGACATGTCGCGTCCCTAAGAGATCATTAACATTCCATTCTATAGAAGAATGTATAATCCTTTGAAAAATTGGTAACTAATTTAATATTGAATTTATTTGATTTCCAATGAAATTTAATTATATTCTAATCACTCGTGGAGAAAATATACCCAGTTACAATTTTGTAGGCCAGCATGTCCTATAAAAAAAAAAGGATTCTCGATCACAAAATATTATTTTTCTGAAAAGTGCCTCTAACAATTCTTTTCATTTCGCCAATCTGTATTACTGAAAATCTCATATAAACCCTCAATTACAATATAAGTAAATAATATTTGTTTTAGATTAGCAGAAGGCCGAGTTCGGCCAAATATATACTTGCAATAATTTTGCACTTTTTTTTGTCTGGCTCATCTTACATTCTTTGCTCCCACGTATCTAACTTATTATTTGCTAATTCTCTTTCCACACTCTCAGTAAACCTGACATAGAAATTCTGCCACTCCAAGTTTCGAATATCATATCCATTTCTCTAGGCTTTATTTTTTTTCCAAATTCCGAAGCCCCGTGCGTCACTCCGCAACCAGCTGTCTTTTTACTGTTAGTAGAACTGGAGGTCCACCTCTCTTTTTGGTTGTCCGCAACTAATTATTCAATGTATTGGCTGCTATACTTAATCTCTGGAAGCCTGAAACTATGTAATGCTGTGGTGACAAGCGAATCACATTTTAAGTAATAAATAGGCCTACTTGTTTACATCTGTATAAGACAATTTTAAAATCGTTTTCAGAATTTCAAGAGTAAAAGTCATAGGTGCTGGGAATGATAGTATTCCTTCAGTTTAGTAATTTGTTCTCTTGTATGGGAATCATAATGCGTATGAGAATGATGAGTATAGATACAGAGTTTATTGAGTGGTGCGGGAAAGGAATTTGTTGCCTTTTGAAGAATTGATGGAATTTATTCCTGTTGACGTCCTGTGGTGTTGTCCACAGACATGGACGTTTTTCGGGGCTCGGTGAAAGAGGGCGTCAAGTCTACTATCCCAGTTGTGAGTGCCGTTATCATAATGCCACAGGGCGCGAACCGGGATGAGACGTTCTGGAGGCTGACGCCATCGAGTCCCGGAGCGGGGTCTCTGCACAGTGTGGCTAGCATAGATACAGTCGCCTCGACAGAAAACGGTATCATCAAACCAGAGAAGTGGTGGAGCACAACCCTCCAGGTGGCTGTGCCGTTCTTCCTTGCCGGCATCGGCACAATAGGGGCTGGACTTACTCTGGGCGTCGTTCAAGTAAGTTCACTTTTCATTCATTCATTCATTCATTCATTCATCTGTAATCTATCAAGACGACAGGTCCACAGTCTCTTTCAAAACAGTTCCTTCACTTGATGCGATCTAGAACTTTCTCCTTCAAATGAAAATATCCTCTTCTGTCCCCAAGGTCATCCAGCATCTTCTTACGTCTTCTTCCTCGTCTTCTGGTTACTTCTATCCGCCCCTCTATCTTTCCTTCAATAACTTCTTTTAGAAGGCAGTTACCGCGTAAGATATGACCAATCCAATTAGCCTTCCGTTTTCTTATTTCGTGGTTCACTTTTATACTGATTTTATATGGGGGCACTAAGGGCTGTGGCCAGAAATTTTCGCGGAAACACATGTGTTACTCGTACGTGAACCAGGGATCTATGCCGTTTCTTCTCCTTTCTCTGAGTGTGTCTTTCTCCGTTCGGACACATGCCCGACTCTTGCACATAGAATAGACTAAGAACATCGAAAACAGTTTTTCTTGCCATATTGTAGATTAGCCTGAATTCGATCCTATCGTTTTCCGGATTCAGTTATTAAAATTATATAAACGTATTTAATGATAATAATTAAAGTTAAAGTTGCTCTAGGCCTATTTAATTACACACTACACCACGAGGATGTATGGAATAGTGGAGATTACCTCTATCTTTCTTGAGCTCGGCACTAGATAAATATAAATAATTTAACTTTTCGTTTTCAGTTACTACAGTACACTTATGCTTTGAGTTATTCACCTCTTTTGTTTCATTCATTAAATGTTATTACAATCTGCATTGCTTTATCTAATAACTGTACGCCATAGATAATATTATTAATTTTGTGGCATGTGGAACACTTTGTTTTATGCTGCTCGCTATTATGAACAATAACAATAACAATAATAATAATAATAATATTTCAATTCAATTCTATTCTTTATTATTAATATGCCGAGTCAACAGCCGCAAGGCCAATTACAGACACAGCACAGTGCAGATGAATGAATTACATTATAGACAAACTTATTAAAAGTCAAATACAAATTACAGGTAAGTACTTGGAAGAAATAATAATGAATAAAAGTAAAAGTAAACAAACAAATAACTGATAATTATAACAGTAATAATAATTTCATTATCATTAAACTAAGTGTTATTACGAATTGAGGAATGAAACATAAATATTTAATTAAGAAATGAATAGTATAGATTTTCAGAGGATAATAATAATATACGTAATTCATTTTGTTTTACTGGACATGCAAATAATAAAAATACTAGCAGTTATACTATATTTAAAATTTGTTTGGGTAGAACATTCCTGACTCCATTCTACCCAGTTCTTTATTTATTTATATGCTGAGCTCGAAAGTCAATGAATAATAACGGTAAAGCTCTGACCTTTATAATGCATGTGGTGAATCAGCAGCCACAAGGCCAATTCTGCAGGAAAAGAAAACAATGAAGTACCTAAGGAAAATAACGGTAAAAAGTACATAAGGCTACATTATACTATAAAGTAAGCGAAATTGTCCAAATGCATAAAATTTGAGCACCATACAGTGGGACTATGCCGTAATATAATTTTTCACTTCGACACTAGACGGGTGTGAAGGTCACCTTTATCCTCGGTACCCATTCAACAGGTGGCTAATTGGGCCCAGAAGTCAGTCTGGATATGTTGGAGAAGAGAGAACTCTGTCTTGAAGGGAATATAACTCCGGCTCATAGCCTAATCACTTTATAAATCCATCCTGGCTTCAGTTATGTGGTAGGCCTACTAGCCACTGTCAAAAAGAGAAGCAGTTCGTGTATCATTTTAGAATATTATTTGATCAAACAAGTATCTTCTGGATACATCAGCGTCTTTACGAAGAGCATAACCAGCTGACAGGCGTCCAGCCTAATGACACTGTGGGTGAATAGTCAGGATTGAAGAGAAGATTGTCTGACACGAGTATTATGGTCAGAAACAAGAATACCAAGAACTTACACAGAAGGGAAGGACACAGCCACGAGTATATATATATAATTACAAGTATGAAGAAAAGTGCATTAAAAGGGAAAAATCCTTGCACAAATGTATGGAAATTTAAGAAAAGCCTAAAACTTTGGTGTTAACAGGCATAACGAAAAAAAAAATGATTATAAGAAAGGGCTACAGATTTCAGCTAGATATGTTTAATGATATAATGATACAAACTCCGTCCCAAGTGCAAACAATATATTATGTGTCCTTGATCTTGCTCTTTCACACTACATGTTTCGGCCTCAGACGTCCATCATCAGGTGTATAACACTCACGTTGCTGTCACACTGCACCCAGCCCAAAATTTAACATTTAAAAACACTTTCCTTGTTCTTATGAACATCTACTACTTCGTTGATATCTGTCTGGTTTGTAGATTATTTTACACACGTTAATTTTGACTTTCCTGTAGTAGCACTATAAAATCTTTAGTTCTAATTTTAAAATCCTTTAAAATTTTTCTCTAAATTTTAAAATTTAAAATTGTTTGGGTTACTCGCCCTATGTCTAAAGTGCTGCAGCGGCTAGCTCTTGTTTCCACACTGTATAGGTGTTATCCTGTGTAGTCTTCTTGTGTGCGTGCCGCTGCTATTCTTTACTACGTGTGCACACGTAGTAAAGAGTTTGTATCATTATATCATTTATCGTATAGAGTGCAACAGGATGCTTAAATATAAGATATGTTTAAGCTTGCTGGGGTCTTTAGAATAACGGAATTACATAGAACAAGGCATATTCTACGAATTCTATTTAAATTATGTAAGCTGTAATATCGAGACACACAGAAGAAAATGAAAGTAAAATTTTACGGTGCGAACTGGACCCAGAAATGCAATAACTTAAGTAACCAACTTGACATACCAAGGACAACGGTTTGGAGAATTTTGCATTTTTAAACTTAAGGAAGTAGCGTATCTTATTCAAGTGCGTGACTACCTCAATAACAATTTTCGGAACACATGGATAGGCAGAACTGCACCGAAACATTGGGCGCTATGCTCCAACGACTTGACACCATTAGACTTCTTTGTTTGGGGCTTCATTAAGTTTAAAGTGTACAAAACAAAAGTTCCTGATCTTCATGACCCACGGCAACATGTTTAATTAGAACCATAATCATTGACACCCAACATACATCTTGAAGTTTTCAGAGCTACTGTGAAACGTTGAAAACAATGTCTTGAAATGAAGAGAGCAAGTGAAGCTGTACTAAACATGTTACACAACAATGATACCCATAACATATCGAACTTTTATTAACTTTGGCCAAGCCGTTCTGTAAAATGGATCGAGGCTTTTGGCTCACCTGTACTTTGTCCTTCGTCCTGTGTTCTGAAAAATATTAAAGACCACAACATTTCAGAGACTGGATCTCTTTCTTTCTTCAAGCAAGGCGTTGGTAGGCATTAGAAGACGGAAAGAGATCCAGTTTCCAAAACGATGTGTTCTTTAGAATACGGAAAATGAAAAAAGCCCCAAAACACCAGTAATTTCAAGGATTCACAAAGATTATGTCAAAACATGTTCCTCTGTCTGGTAAAATGTAATGCAGGTTTTATTGACGTTGAGTCTCTTAATTATTGCCGTGCACCACCCATGTATATCCCCACCAATGGTGTCTCCACCACATCATGGAGGTGGGTTTGAGTGTTCCTGAGACCCTGAGAGTTAAGCCGGCTGTAGTGTAGCTACCGTGCGTGAGGCTAACAACCTCACACCGTGAAAACTAAATTGTTCAGATGCCACTTAATCAGCCTCTAAAATATAATATATATGACGAGGTAGATAAGAAGACACAGGTTGAGATGGTTGGAAGATGTACGTGATGATCTCCATAAAATGAAAGTGAAAGGACGGAGAGGGAAGATGAAGAATAGAGAAGAATGGAGGCAGATTGTTCAGGGGCAAAAGCTCACTTTGAGCTGTAGCGCCGAGGGGAAAGAAGCCAAGTATATAGTCAATACGCTTATCAGGCTGAAGTAGCGAATGATCGTAAGGAGACTTTACGTACAAAATTTTGATTTCCTCCATAAAATTAAGATGATTAAGGAAATTAATTGCATTGCACAAATAATTAAAAAAAAAACATTGTAAAACAACGTCCTGCCGGTCACGGTAGCCGAGCGGTCTAAGGCATGTACTGTCTTCGCTCGCTTGGAAACCGGGATCGTGGGTTCGAATCCCACTCAGGGCATGGATGTTTGGTGTGTATGTGCGTTTTTCTGTTTTTGTATACAGGTAGGGGCTTTGCGACGAGCTGATCACCTGCCCAAGGAGTCCTACCGAATGTGTAAGATCTAGAAGAAAAGAACCGAAGTGAACGGAGAAGTTCATGGCGGTAGGCGTAGGTCCACTGGGGCTGTAGTGCCAAGGAAAAAACGTCATAAAGACAGATCCTTATGGAACACAAGACAGCGCACCAAAATAACAAACATGACATAATCTGCTGCTTAAATACGCACCTACTCAGCCAGTTAATGTAACCAATAGATAATCCATAATCATTAGATTTATGAAGAAGCAAGTTATGTGGGACAAGGCCAAACACGCAACTGAGATAAAGAAGAATGGCATCCAGTGGTGCTGAAGTGCAGACTGTGAGAGTGATGAAACTAAGAAATATATTATAAGGTAACTAAATTAGCAACGTTAGATTTGGATTTAGTGATACCATGCAGGCAGGGATTGAATTTATACTTAATGTTGTCACGTATCCCGGTACAGGCTAATTATTAATGGGTTCCGTATTAGATGAATCGATATATTGGTTTATTCACCAGGCGGAAGTACAATTAGTTGTAACATAATCTTACTGTAACTATAACACTTCATAACTACGAACAATTACTACAATTTAAAGGTCACTGTAACTACACCACGTGAAAAAAAGACTTCACTTCTGACTTCTTCTGACTTCTCTTTGTCTTCTGTCGTATTATATCTTCTGTTGATCAGTTCTCTCCCTGAGGTAGGTTCTGGTCGAACCTCATAGAGATCCCCTCCTTCAACAGTAGAGTTATTGCGTTCCTCGCCGTTACTGTGCTTTGGATGTTTGTTGCAGCGTGAAGAGTTTTTACCTAGCCGCTGTAATGTAAACCTGTTTCTGTATGCGTTGCCTACGAATCAATGTCTTCAGTACTTCCTCTGTTGTGAGTATTGAGACCTTCGCTACTAAGTAACCGAAGTTCTATTGCTGACCGTGTTACACGAGGTTTTCTGGTTCAATATCTTAATGCTTTGAGCAAGCCGTCGCCATATTATGAAAAACACCTCGTGTGGAGACGTGTGGAGTAACTCTACCGTAGGTCTACGAGTCATAGAATGCGATGAAATGGGAACCGGTACCTGGGCTTATAACTGGACCGCCCTGTCATTGGGAGGCATAAACACAGATACATGATTCTCCAGGTTGGTGGTTGGCCTCAAGGCCGACGATCTTGCTCTGTAAAGAAATTATTGTTGTGAAATCCGCAGAAGTGAAGCCCGGTTGGCCTAATTCGAGGTAAATCTGGCAGAATCTTCTAAGGACAGTAACGGCTACAGAGAGCTCTTTTGTCGATGATGATGGTGATGATGATGATGATGATGATGATGATAGGCATGGTAATCTGTATTACTACTACCACTGTTTCTCATAATAGCAATAACAATAACACTAAAATCTAAAGTAGTAGTAGTAATAATAATAATAATAATAATAATAATAATAATAATAATTCTATTCTCGAAACCAGAAATTTCATTATGCCTGCTCGTATGTTTCTACGGGCTTTATGATGCAAAGGGATATTTGAGTTTTTAAAAGAAATCGTTGGCCGCGATAAAGGGCAGACCAAATATTATTGTAAAATATAAACTGTCATTTTGTTTTACGTTTATGATTTTCACATATACATCCAAAGTTTTATTCCATGGCCATAAAAGGGTCGCGAAAAGTTGTAGGTGTTAATACAGACATATTTGGGGCACTGGGTGCCCTGTCATAGCCGTATATTTTAGTTACAAGAGTTAAAATATTGTAATTGCAATAGTTATGCTGTCTATTTAAAAACTTTAGTTTTATGTGGCAGTTTTATGCTATACTGATGGAAGAGTATCGTGATCTTCCATGGATACTCCAGAAAAATGATTAGTGCCTCAAATATGGTCATATAATCGTATATTTAGGAAACAAATAATACATAATTAAAACCATATAATTCTTATTGTGGAGAGGGGAAAAGGATAACAAACAAATAATTCAAAGAATCGAATATATCACGAAACACATTGCAAGTGTAGTTAGTGTGTAATAAATTCTGTACCTTGAAAATATATTAAGAATGCTTGTAGGCCTGTAATTGCTCTCAAAGTCATTAGGCCCATTACGGAAGCAGGTAAGGTAAAGTAACGCTATCCCCGTAACAGACCGTGGAGGCCCATATGGCTGTTAGACGTCGAGGCTTCCACATTTTCTAGACAATCAGCCTGCAGATGGCAGTGAGGTTTTCAGTCTTACGCGCCGGCGGCCGCACTTTACTACTTTTTTGGACTATCCGAAAGAAATAATTTCAGGTCCAGTGGTGCAGATTATCTCTTTCTAACGGACCAAACTGAGTCGGCATCTCTCCAATTCCGAAAAGTTTTGTGCTTTGAAAATTCTAGAAATTGGACAAACTCCGAACTCCCAGTAATTTCGAGGATGCAGCAGCATCTTGCTTCCGAATGGTAGAGAAATTTTGCTTTCTGAGCTAACATGTTATTTAAAATATATTTAAAAACAGGTATGTATGAGAATAACCAGACTACTTCTGCTACTACTACTATTCCTACTACTACTACTTATTATTATTATTATTATTATTATTATTATTATCATCATCATCATCATCATCATCATCATTAGGTTACTATTATTATTTTAATACCCTATACAGATGTATCGGTCGGTCACGGTAGCCGAGCTGTCTAAGGCATGCACTGTCTTTGTTCGCTCGGAAGCCGGGATCGTGGGTTCGAATCCCACTCAGGGCATGGATGTTTGTGTGCGTCTTTCTGTGTTTGTGTACAGGTAGAGGCCTTGCGACGAGCTGATCACTCGCCCAAGGAGTCCTACCGTATGTATAAGATCTAGAAAAACCGAAGTGAACGGAGAAGTTCATGGAGGTAGGCCTAGGCCCACTGGGGCTGTAGTGTCATGGAAAAAAAAATATATAGATGTATCAGGAAATTCGATTTCTTCCTAATAATGGCCGATACTCATTTTTCTCTTTCCTGCTGTCAGTTGAAGTGGTTCAGTTCGTTTTAACGGCCAAGCCGGTCAGATCTGTCGGTATCGTTCTGCCGCCATCTTGTATAGGCTATATATCTCTATCCCAGGTTCTTCCCTGACAATGAAAAGGACATAACCGCGTATCTAGGGTACTAAGCTTTAAGTCTCCTGATGCATTACTCAGTCCTCTTCGATGTAGCAGGATTGGTATACATACAGTTTCAGAGTAGTCTCTCACTCAGGGTGTACTCAAGGTAGACCAGTCTCTGCACAAATGGACTGTGCTATACAGAACTATATTTGCACATATATCTTCAATTTACACTTAAGTACCTTGTAATTAGGTCAATACTCCACGGTGCACTGTCGGCTACTTGATCTATTTGCCCTCTGCTCACGTTTACGTAGTACTAACGCTACTACTGTTTCTTTTTTTTTTCCCCCTTGGCACTACAGCCCCAGTGGGCCTAGGCCTACCTCCATGAACTTCTCCGTTCACTTCGGTTTTTCTAGATCTTGAACATACGGTAGGACTCCTTGGGCGGGGCTACTGCTTCTACTCCTACTAATTATGGCTACTCATTTCAGTTCAGTTATTTGTTCGACAACAGCAAGGGAGTCAATTAAAGGCAAGCTCTGAAAAGAAAACATAATGACCCTCACAAAAAAAATACACATAAGTATGTAAAATACGGGTCGAATAAGGCCTTTCAATAACAAGAGAACGGACCAAAGAAAATAAAACTTGACTCGCATGGACTGAGGTAAACTCACATGTTAAATGATTAGTCATTACGAGTGATAAAGTCTAGGAATGAACTGCAAACTCCGATAAAGTCGGCAGGGAACAAAATGCATATGGTGGTAAACCTGTCGGAAACTAGCAAGTGGCAAAGTAAGGTATGCAACTGCCTCAGGATACGGTTTGGAAATACAGTATTAGTGAAGTACTAAAACTCTCGGGCGATAGCCGATTTTGTTCCCTCTGTGGGGAGATCTCGTGGATTTCCTCAGTTTTTAGATAGTAATTCAGAACCCTTACCATCAGAGAGGCAACACCTGCTTCCTCCCCTAACATTTCCTTTCGCTGTAAACCTACATGAACAGGCTTGAGTATTAGTTAATGCTGAATAAACTCTGCAGTTTATACAGCATCTTAAATAATCTATAAACTAAACTCCACACGCCGTTTAACAAAATTTGACCAAATACATCAATAATATTTGTGACAACCCACAACTGTATCAATAAACGTACTCCACTTCTGGGTTTCAGAACTGGGCTGTGTTCAGGGATGTCACTTCCCTACTCATCCTGGTACCTCCATTGCTGGGGTTGAAAGGCAACTTGGATATGTGCCTTGCGTCACGTCTTTCAACCCAAGCCAATATGGGCAAGATGGATTCATGGCGAGAAATCTGGAAGATGATTGTCGGCAATGTTGCCGTGGTACAGGTAATGAGGGATGTCTCGTCTGCAGCTCTCTCGAATCTTGAACCCACCTTTCACAATGCATAATCAGTGCTATTTTAATGACCTTTGTACTTGAAATTATCCCCAATCAATCAGTCAATAAATTGATATAAATATTGCAGAAATGTTATACTATACGTAGATATAAAGACCTCCAAAACTTGTTGCCAAGGACAAATTATCTCGAATTGTGATATAAACAATTAACTGAACATAAACGAAACCTAGCAACTGAATTTTACGTTCTCATAGCCGTGATTATTTAACACTGTTGTCTCATGAGATATGATTTGCTGTACTTTGCCTACATCCGCATCACATCCCAATAGACCATAATACTACACAATTTTAAATGCTTAAGAGCATACATGTAGCTATTTTTTCAGTGTCACATTCTCTCAGATCCTTGAAGAATTGTATCTTCTGGGATATAACGCCGTTTAGTATGGTAAAATACTTTTAATTTCAATGGACTACATGGTTATATATTCCAGAAGATATACATCTTCGTAGGCACAGCTGCGACAACTTGAAATCCAACATCAGTTCCTTCCTTCCCTTCTCTGATGATGCATTCTGCAGTACAAGACAAACTTACAAAATTCTCCCAAAAGCATATACTTGTAGGCAGTACAATCTTGGGAGGTCTTCGGTTGATACAGTAGCAAGATTTATTATCGTACTTATAACTGAGTGTTTTACCTTCCACTAAACTTTTCTTGTGCGATCAACAGAGCCATTTTTTACATGAAATCAAGGCTTTTCGGAGACTTTCTGCGTCTCCATATTAAGGGCCGATCCATCATATTGATTGATATAAAATTTTATGTGCATTTATAAGCTATCATATGGTTGATTTCAAGGCCATCACTTTTTGTTTTAATGATACTTCACAAATACCCTACTTACTAAAAATGTATTTTATTTCTTCATGAACATATGACACGTTTTGACATGTATCACTAATAATAAAATTAAGACTTTAATTGAATTGCAATTGCTATAATATTTTTGCATTCTGTTGCATGTATTACAATTAAAAAGGTAATAAAGTCTTAAATACGTTCAACTGTCAAAGGCAAACATGTTTTTATTGAGTAATTTAAAATCAAGACTCCACGTTTTCGATCATAAAAGGGTCATCTTCATGTGCTCGTTAGATACACAATTTAATTATTGACTTTGCAATGCGTGACCTTATATCACACCTATTAATTTCTCACATTGTGTTATAGTAAACATACTCTTGGTTTACAAACACGTAATGGAATATATTAAGTAAAAGATATAACTTAATGACGCACAACAATACCCTATGTGTAGGTCTTATTAACTGCATTACAATTTAAATTGCATTGAGACTGAGAGTACAAGTTTGCCACTAAATTTTGTCATTGTGTACAGTGGATATTCATGTCTCTATGGTGTAATAGACTGCGCTCATAAAGGTGGTTTTAGGTTTTTTCTCTATTGTCATGCAAAAATTATTCGTTTGCTGGTGTTACTATTCTGCGTTTATGTCCAGTTAATACATTGTTACCACATTGGGTCCCGTTTTCGTGGAGTTATGTTATTTGCTACGCAGTCAGTTCTATTCCAATTGCTACTGGTTAACTTGTGCAGTATTACTTTTTGCACTAATGACTGAGATGAAACCGAAATATTACAGGCCTCTTAAACAATTTGTGCTTTAATAATTTTGTGGTATATCTTGTTGACGAGTTGTAGATTTTTCGGTTTTCTGCAGCTGGCTAAAATACCACGTTCTCATTATTGAAGAATTATTAGTATGGAATTCTTTTATGATAAAACTTATATCTTTTGTATTGTTACGATTTTGGGTAACTATAGACGGAGTTTGACTGGGAGATTGAACTTATTGACCACTTACAGGTCGTAACTACAAGTAACTATAAGTAACTATAACACTCATGCTAATTGCCACACTTTACAAATCACTACAGCACACGCTAAACCTTTTCAGTCTGCTGTCACCAGTCGTTTCCAGGTAGAGGGTCTTAACAACAAAGATTCCTCACATTCCATAAGGATAAGGAGGATAAGTCTTAGTCGACCGTTCGATTCTACTTACGCAATTTATTCTAAATTAACCTCCATATCTAGAGACTGCGTCCTTCATCTTAGGGCTCGCCATGTCGTATTGACATAATACCGAGTTATTGAGACAAGGTAAGAAAGAGTGGCACTAAAAAACAGGCGATTATATAGATTGCCCCAGAAATTAGTTCGGCAGCTTGGTAGATAAAGACTATGGCAGTTTTTATAAATACGGGTCTGGAAATACTTTCTTAACAGCTGCGGCCATTCGGACATGTTCCCGTCAAGAGCAGGAGAGTAAAACTTAGGGTATAAAAGACTAATCTTTTTAAGGGAAACTGGAGTTAAGAGTGGAAGATGTGAACGACTACTTATTCTTTTATCAATAACACCTACCCCATTCAAAACGAAATGCACAGTAGTCATGTTTACAGTAACAGTGAGTTGATCATATAGAATGTGAAACCAGACGTTCGCTTCCGATGAACTGAACCTGCTGTCAAGTATCGTTCTTTCAGTGTCACAATTGCTCTGCAAGCCCATGCTTAAAATGGACAACTACACATTCTTGGAATGCGCAGAGATGCGTTTAATGCTAGAGGAAGCCCGTTGTAGTGGTACAGCAGATGTAAGACTGTATACGGAGGAGCATCGGAGATGTAGACTTAAGAAACCATGAACGATTCATGACATTGGTCACCGCATCAGGGAGACCCAGCACCTTTGCTCCTCTGTGGAGGACCGCGGAAGATGGAGATGTGCACGTGGAAGAGAAAAATCCTCTTAACAGCGTTCCTTGAATATAAGCAGCCGAATATCTGATGCGCATGTGAATGTTGTGGGTACTGCATAAACAGCTGATCAAGCCGTACCATAGCAATAGTTACAAGATCTACTTCTGCTTGATTTTTGCCAACGCCAAGAATGTTCCTAGTTGTTCTTTCGAGAATGTGGTGAAAATCTTTCCTTTTGCAGCTGCATACTCTTCATCAACTAAACAGGTTTCCCATGGAATGGCATACTAAATGTCCTTACCACAAGCATTTGGAGTGATGTAAACCCACACAGTGCAGTCTAGACATCAGCAACAAATATTCAGTTAACTTTTTAACTAGTATTGCTGTGGACTGTTTTCATAGGCCTGTACATCTTGCCTCATGGACTCGATGGTTCTGCTTACTGTGATTTTGCCAGACGTATTGGACACTGCCCCTGAAGATGTTGGAAAAAAATATATGCTTTATACATAAGCATCTCAGGCCATTTCAGTCACGTAACCTACATTGGATAAGAAGGCAGGGGCCAGTATCCTGACCAAGCTGTTTGCCAGACCTGAATCCCATTGATTATTTCCTTTGGTGCACACGCTTCAGTGGTGAATATGATAGTATCTTGTTCTGCAGTACTCCTGATATTTTTCAGTTGTCCATTAATTCATGCCTCCTCAGGTCGCAGCTTGTATGAAAGTGAAGGTTATCATTTTGAATATCTACTGTAACGCTAACAATAATTGCTACCTTTTGTCCCCGGAATTGCATAAGCACTCTTTTGTCTTTGAAATATATTTTTAATCAACTGCTGCATTATTTCTTGAACAAAACTCTTTTATTATTAATAACGTTTATCTTACAAGTAAGCATATTTAATCCAAGGTATCTGTCCTGCTGCAATAGTTTCTATTGTAACTGAAGTTCTACTATCCTAGTGTTGCAGGGAATATGATGACAACTGTGTTTCGTTTTGAATGTTTCTTAAAAAGGATTCTCCACCATGTTGTTAGTTAGTTTGGGGTAATTACAAATTTGTAAATAATTTAGTGATCTCTTAAATATTGCTGTCAAAAATGTGAAGTCAGATCAAGCCTTGTTCTGAATTTTAGCTCCTTCAAGTATTATACTGTGTGATAACATAATTTATTTAACATCCATAACTGTTAAACAGGCACAAATGGAGAAGTCAGTTGAAAACAACCAAACACTACATCTCAACAGTTCTCAAAAAATGCACAAAACATAATTCAAGACAATGTACAATGCAGTCCCTTTTTAATCAACCTCCTCTTCCTATAGCTTACCAAAAATTAATGACAACTTCCAGCAATTTAATATAAAGAAGTATATTTACTCAAACGACCAAAAACACAAGTCAGCCATGTAAAAAAAGCATCCACATTTAGTAAAGATAAACGATCCAGAGTCCATCTATGTACTTCTGTATCATATCGAAACTAACTTGAATTACCAAACTACTACACTACTTTTGTAGAGAATAAAAACAGTTTTGTAATAAATAGATTTTTTAATTTTTTTTTTTTAGAAATCTTGAAATTTTCTTTTATTTTTAATTCAAAGAGTAAGTTGTTATGCATTTTTATTCCCATTTTAATTATATTTTTTACAATGAGCAGTGTTGCGTAATTGGGCATACAAATCCTGTTTCCTTTTTGTATTATACTTACAAATATCAGAATATTGAGTTGTATAGATCATATCCTTTTTCACAAAGCACAAGATCTGAAATATTTATAATGAATTTACACTTCAAATCTTAAAATCACCAAACAAACTTCTACAAGATATTGCTTTATTTACAATTTTTTGAGCCATATTTTTATAATTATACTGTATTGCCATTCATCCATATATTTCACTCTTTCTCATGCCCTATGACCGCAAATATCAGATCACAATTCCTTCTCCTTCTCTGATGCACTTAGCCTATGGAGCTGTCATGTTAAATGTGTCAGCATTATCACTACCCGAAGGATAATGAGAACCAGTTAAGTGCAAATGAAGGAAGATTCATATTGTTTTTTTTTTTCCTTGGCACTACAGTCCCAGTGGACCTAGGTCTACCTCTGTGAATTCCGCTCACTTCATATTGTTTATATCTACCATTTACTTTAGTGGCTACCATAATTACTTTTGAAATAAATTAAAATTGTCTTCACTTATCAACTTTCCCTCATATGTTACTATGTTGTGCTGTCTTGTTTGTTATGTTAAGTTGTTTACAATGATTTCTGAGAAAGATTTTTTTTGTAATTTTTAACTCAAATTTCTCCGTTTTAAACCCAGGTACAAGCCATTGTGGCTGCACTTCTGGTATCACTATTTGCTGTTTCCATGAATGCCATCATAGATGGTTGGTTCAATCTGAACCATGCTTTACTTCTCAGTGCTGCCAGCATCACTACTGCTACCAGTTCATGTTTTATACTTGGTATGTTTTCATAATTATAAATGCCTTTCATTTAATATACATCTTTATTTCTGATTTATGTTGATTGTACTTAGGAATACTAGAGAGTTAGTATTGAAAGATTATCAAAAATTTTAAGATATTATCTGGAACATCATACAGACGAATAACTATTTAACTCTTTATGAAGAGAAATATATTAGGTAATGTGCACCAAAATTTTGGAATTTGAAAGTCAATTCTATATTCTGTTCACACACCATCACATATCTATTAATGTGCCCATGCAAACACACAAAAAAGAACAGCAAAAGCACACACAATTTTGAAACAAAATTTCGGTCCCAGAGTTTAATTTTTTCTACTTCATATTTTTCTTAATAGTTCCATCCATGTGTGAGTCGTACTAGTTTTGAGAGTTTCACCAAGCACAAAATTATTTGTTCAACAATTATCAAGAACTACAGTTTTTATCATATAAACTGATTCTTCATATATAGATATACATACATACTTTATACTGCATAATCATTTGAATTCACATGCATTAAATTTGTAGTGGCTTTCTGTCAAACCAGTGTATTAGCATTGAAATTAGTTAATTCTCAGTGACAGCTAATACTTAATTTTTGTAAATGAAATTAATAACTGTGTTGTGAGTAGCAGTGAGAAATAATTTGATAGACTAGTAGTTTAAAATAAATGATTTAAAACATATAGAATTATCATTATTACATGTCATATTTTACAGGATAGTTTCTGGATATCAGAATAATTAAAAACGTTCATATGACTGTGCGCCCTGAGTGCATTCCTTGACAAACTACAGCTATTCCAATCTCAAGTTCTGTGTTCACTCCTCAGATACTCCCCAAATTTCATGACTTCTGTATAAAAAGTTAATAAACATAAGAGTTATTAATAACCTTTTTAATTTGACTGTCATGTAGGAGGTACTCAAAGTTCCAACCCACAGAGTGTTGAAAAACTGTCATTGCTGTCAGTGGTATCAAATTGAAGAGGATTCTCATCTCACCACACATTCTCATTGCGAATGTGGCAGCACCAGGGCTTATGAAACACAATTTGCCTGTGAACAAAACATTTACTGTAAATTTAGAGTCTTTGGCCAACTGTTAAAAAATCCATTGACAGAATGCATTTCTTGCAGGTACATCATGTGGTACTAACTCTTTCACACACTGAATGTGATGAGAAAACAACTGCTGTCCTTGTAATGTATGGTGTACATAAGAATGGGAGGAATCTCTATGACCTGTAAAACGTGTGTACTGATAGTAGACTTCTTTCAATGACCTTGAGCTTCTGATCTTCCATTTGCACATTCTGTACAGAATGTGAACCCCTGACATCCCATCGCTTTCCATCAGATATTCCCAGCTATCAAAGTTGGGGGTAAACAAATAGAAAGTACAGTGATTTGGCATTCTCCATTTGGGACATTTCTACTTTCATTGACGGATTGCTATGTAACTGTTTTCCCAACCTTTGATTGCTTCAGACTGACTAAAAATGTAACATATTTTGTCACGTGTTAAGTGACTATAGAAGGGGTTTGGATTAGTAACTAGACTTATTGGACTCTTACATGAGCCGTGATTGCAATTAATTATAGTGCTAGTACTAATTCACATACTCTGCAGTTCACTATTGCATGCACTCAGTGTTGTATTTCTTCACTATGTGCTGCATGGTAACAGCTCTCAACACCGTTCACTGCTAAAATTGCTCAGCGGCTCTGATCCTCACAGGCTGGCTCTTGTTTTACACTAACTCTTCATGGCTGCAACCCCTAACCATTATCAGCCTCATAGCCATCTGTCCACCAGTGGCTAGCATAGCTGCTTGAATACTCACAATCTCAGCAACTAACCAATTACTGCAGCTCAAGTAAAAGTCAAAGTTATGTTACGACTGACAGTCAGTCAGCCAGTCTGTCTTGGAATAAAGCACCCATCTGGGGCTTAAGACCAGATCTGTATTATGGTATGACATTTGCAGGCTTGTTGATGTGGGGTGATCTCTCTGACGAGAGGAAAGGCCTGTCATTTGCCAGAGTCACAGACAGCAGTAATAAGTGTGTTGTTAATATACACAATTTATATTTTATATGTTATTAAATGTATATGCAATATATACAAGATCTCTGTCAGTCCAGGCTCAGTACAGCAGATCATGCCCTTTCCTTAGTAGTACCAGTATATAGCCTCAGGGCAGACCACAAAAAAGACACCACTTCAATCGTTTCTTCTGTTTTCTCATGTTTCTCCTCCAACAATTCCTCCAATTTTAAGTTAGCCATGTTTGCCACGGTAACGTGTTTAAACGCCTTTACTTGGCAATGAACATCTTTTGCTCTACCACTATTTTGCCTTTCAGCCGTCATGTGACAGCATTAATAATTATTTTTGTACTTTACAGTATTACACATTATGAGTGAAACTGATAATCACTGATAGAACTATAATCACCACACAACCGAAACAAAATGCTCTCAGAACATTTCATTTTCAGAATGTGATGACAGATGCTGACATTTTTTAGTGGTTATAACTATTTAAGAAGGTCCTCAGGATACATATTCATATGAACTCTTTTTACTAATTCTAATGCCCAGAAATCATCCTGTAATTTATGACATGTAATAAGAAGCCATTCTCTATTTGTATAAACTGGCTTTCTTCTTCTGAGTGTTGTCTTAAATAGGAACTAGTGTGATAAATGACTGAATTATAAACTAGTTCATATCATAATTTCTGTGATTTATGTTCAGTTGGACTGGCAATTGTGTGTATATTAAACTGTGATGAATTTGGTTGTATAAGTTAGGGAGTTCTGAAGCTATTCATGAAAGTAGTAAGTTTGGTAAATTCAGTTAATATAGCAGATATTTCACAATAAATAAATCTTATGATCGGTTTGTGCATTTTTCTATTGATCACTGTAATACTTCCATTCTACTTTCAGGGTTACTTCAAAGACAAATGGAATCATGTGCTCTGATTTATAGTTATAGAATTTGCTCAAGTCATCCATTTGCATAATTCCTTATAGCCATAAATTAATAAAGACCTTCATGTCTCTATCTGAGACTCAAATAATTTGAGGAGTCAGCACAATACTATATTAAATAATTCTTTTCTCATTACATATAAAAAATTACGTTTTGGCCAAGATAAGTCGAATATATTTATTTATTTATTTACTTACTTACTTCATTACATCTCACAATTACTTGTTTATTTCGTTTACCAAGATTTGGTGATGATTGGTGTGATTGTGGTTACTCACCGTCTCCATATGAACCCTGACAACTTAGCAACTCCTGTGGCCGCCAGCATTGGTGATGTGGTTTCTATCAGTTTGCTTGCTCAGATAGCATCAGCATTCTTCCACATTCATGGTGAGCAGAATACTATGGTAATTTGGAACTTTTCTCTCTGCAGTTATTACACTCTGCTATAGTTTCTAGATGGTACCTGTGGTCCTTAACTTCTGTTTCATGTTGTTGGGTAAAAACTGGAGTATATGACAAGTAGCAACACTGCTGTAAGATAAAGCTTTTGGTTCATGTAACAACTGCAGCACCTTCATTAGTCATAATGGCATCAGTATATTGCATTGATTATAAAAGTTGGAACACATGCAAAAGAACACCATCATTATGTATTTTAAGTTGTATTTCTTCATATACAGTATGTGCCAAAAGATACAGTACTGAAATGAAAAGACATGCTGTTGATACCACTGTCTATTCATGTGAAGGACACTTGAACAACAGAACCTTCTCAAATCCTGAAGAAATGGTCTGATCACCATGTCCCTGTAACGTTCTTGGGTGATGGTAAGAGCATTGCCCTCCTCATCCTCAATGAAACAGGGGCCTAATATACCATGTGCTGAGATGGCACACCATGTCATCACACATGTACTATGTAGGGGTTTCTGGACGATAACATCTGGCTGCTCAAAATCAAGGAAGTGAGTTGTCTAGCGACCACTTCCATATGAGCGGAAATAATACTCAACTATGAATACTTTTTCCTCTGTCGAGAGACCCATTTCCAACAACAACCACACAACACAACTTCCTTTTCACTACTGGGAACACGTGTGGCTGGAGCTATGCCCTGTCGACAAATGCACGTGCTTGTTCGAGATGCACGAGTTTCAGTACTGCAGTTTTTGGCGCATACTGTATATGCAAGGATTAAGAAAATAAGTCAAATTATCATAATTGACATTTGTCAATATTCTGAAAGTGCATAAATCTGTGTTACTAAAGCAAAACATGTAAATTGATGAGTGACCACATTCTTTTGCAGATACTGCATACTGGATTTTATTAGTACTGATTGTGATTTATCTGCTGCTTCTCCCATTTTGGATTTATATAGTTCTAAACAATGAGTACACACGGCCAGTCCTAACATCAGGATGGGTTCCTGTCTTGTCAGCATTGATCATAAGTGGGTAAGTTGATGTGGATTTCCCATTCCTTAATCTTTGATGATATTAAGTTGCCTCACACACCACACTTATTTATCATTGATTACATTTACAATAATGAATTAATAATTGTAAAATTGTTGGGATGTGTGTCTTAAGAAAAAGGAGAGCCTGAAAAATCTCTTTCCATGTAGTTTTATTCATAAGACTTGTTCACTGTGTTATGGCTTCACAGTAACCTGATAACTCTGTGACAATAATCTAAATATGTCAATGTGTTGCTCTTCCAGGTTTCATGGGTACATTCATTCTGAAGCATATCACTACACTACACTTCATGTTTTATTCATACTGCACTAAACTGGCACATGCTTTTGTTACTCTCAGCATAGCAATGTGAATTTTTTATGTTGTGACAAGCTTAGCTAATATGTCATAATAATTCTGATAAACAGTGATTTCCTGTTTTACCCCCTTCAGTTCTTTAGCTCACATTTGATCTCCATCATTACAATGAAAAACATCTGAATCCATCTGACACCTTTGAAAATGTCTGTTATGATGTCATTAGATTGAGTACTACTTTGATATTTGCAAGGCCATAAAGGAGGCCACATATGAGCACTTATGAAATCAGTCTAATATTAAATATTTTTCTCTTCAGAATTCTTTAATAATGTTTATACATGTATGTTTTTAATCTAACCAACTGAACAATGTTCACAGTAATAAATATATCAGAATGACTATTCTGAAAACCATTCTATATTCAAACACATACCAGGTTTGTTGTCTTGCAGACTGGGTGGTCTCGTGTTGGACAATGTCGTTGACTTGTACAGTTCTTTCGTTGTGTTCCAACCAATTATCAATGGCATTGGAGGGAACTTGGTGTCAATCCAATCCAGTCGCATCTCCACCATGTTACACCAGTCCTCTCTACAAGGCATTATTCCACCCCATACAAGGATGTGTGCCACACCATGGGCAGCTCTATTTAAAGGACGTGAGTACAGTACTTAACAAAATAATCATAGCTCTACATTTTATTTAAAATAGAACCTGGTGTTCTTAGAATATGAAATTGGGTTCTCATTCAGAGGGCCAGGTGTAAGTCAGAATACCAGGCCTATGCTATATTTTAGGTCCCCTCATCCCATCATAAACTGGAGTAACTGCACCACATCAAGGATGCTCCTACCTCAGACATGAATTCCTTTACATCATCAGTCAAAGGCAGAAGTGTTGGTAAGACCAAGACTGGGAATGTTTGCTACAAATAAACTGTGTTGATTTTAGAGCTTTGGAAGCATAGCATGAAGTATAAAATCTCATGTCAGTCTATTTTAAGCTCTCTACAACCGTTCATAAAAAAAATTAACATCCTAATATGTAACTTGTACAACTGAAATTCCATCAATATGATGTACAAATCAGTAAAAATCATTTTCCCGTTATTTGTAAATCTAAAATTATATTAGTTTACAGTGTTCTCTTCTTTCTAAAGAATTTTTCTCAGCCTTCCACTCTTCATGTGGAAGGCATGTTAGTTACCTGTGTGCTCAGCACACTCAGAATTTAGGCCCTTCCACATTATTCCATTCATGAGCATATAAGTATTGTTTTATCTTGGCCTATAACTACAAAGGATCTTGGATAGCTCAACTGGTAGAGTAAGGATCTACAGACTGAATGGCCAGGGTTCTATTCCCAGAAGGGGCAAGCTACTCCATAATGTTCAAACAGGCTCTTGGTACCACCCAGTCTCCTAATTAATGGGTGCTAGAGTATCTTTCTGCAGGAGTAAAGTGGCAAGGTTGTGAAGTTGACCACTCACTTCCATTTAATGCCGAGGTCAAGAATGCTGGAGCTGTACTTCCACTACCTGTCTTCATGAACTAGTGCTTAATTAAATAGGCATAGGAACATCTTTACTTTTTACCTTTAAATTCAATTTGAATATTACTTTATAGTACTTCTCTGTCCCTTCCTACACAGTAGAATTTCTCAAACCAAAATGTATATAAGGGGAACCCCAATATTTGGTAACACAGTTCATTTTATAACACAGAAACATTTGTATTTTCATTGATGAATATGAGAAGCTGATTAAATTACTGTTTACACTGGATCTTCTTTGAAGGAACACAAATTTTATGAAATGTTGGAGGCCACATTCAGCCACTGCAACCATGTATATTATTATTATTTGTGACATTGTGTTGCAGTGCCACATGCAAGTACAGCAAGGATTCTGATCAGTATGAACCTTACTGGACAAGTAATGTTTCTCTTCGTTGCTGACTATATCCACTGGGGACAGTCAACTGTAACAGCTGCTTTTGCCTTATCCTATCTCACAGTCAGTTTGCTGCAGGTGAGTGTTTTACATGACAGGTACACAATTCACAGTCACCTTCACAACACTTTACACCACAGTTCACTCAGTTCTGGGAAGTTTTTATCTACATAAGGTCTGGCCCATGGAACAACCCTCAGTTTATTCCCTAAGCATAATTTTAGCCTGAGGTCCCAAGGTTTACAGAGTTTAAGACTATGCACGCATTAAGCCAGTGATCTCACACTTTCACATCTTGCTAAATCCATTGGCCATTTTTACAACAACAACAAAATGTAGTCCCACCGTAGTAGAAACAAGGCTTTCCTTTTATCAAGAATTATAATCTCACACTTATGCGCATTGTAGTTTTATGCTATGAGGTACACTAGATATAATCTATCCGGATATGAAGTAACTGAAGCAAAGAAAAAGTGTTTTTACTGTTTCTCAGTAGTCTCCACTGAGTTCAACACGTTTCTGCAATTCTGCTCAAAGAGAAAATTTCTCTGGAAAACGTTTGTTTTATCTGGCTCCTTTAATAACTGTGAAACAGCATCTTTAAGTTGTTTCTTGAAAATCGGTGTCCATGGAAGGGTTTCTTGATGTTTCATAACAGAAAAGTAATCACCGAAGACCACACTGGACTGTAGAATGGTGGTTTAATTCTCCAAAACCACAGCCCTTTATGGCACAATTTGCTGTCCGCAAACTGTGTATGTGAGCAGTGTTGTGAAAAGGCAGGACACTCCATGCCACCTACCCTTATCAGTTTACCTTGATGGCCTCTTAGAATTTTCCAAGTACAGCACCATAGATATACAGGCTACAATAAAATTTGTCTCCAAGTCCCAAAATGAAGATGACATATTTTTTTCCAGCTGATGGTTGCATCCAAAATTTCTTGAGTGGATGAGCCATGGTCTTTTCATTGCATGGGCTACTATTTTGTTTCAGAATACAAATGATGGACCTATGTTTCATCAAATGTAATGATTTTCAAGAGAACTGTATCTGGGTTGTCCTCACATGTTCAAAATTCTCCTCAGAAAACTGAACCCTGCACTGCTCCTGAAGTTCTGAAATTAGTTCAGCGCTCTCAGAACCCACATGAAACTTCCTTTGATATAGACAGACAATCATGGGGAGTCACCAAGGAGCAGATATCATTTTCACTGAATTCTTTGCATCATTTGAACTACTTATGCCAGTGTTTAACTTTGTGTTCAAAGGTGTAGCAACACCATACATAACAATTATACGTAGGTAAGTCAATAAGTAAGTTACAAATGGATATAGAACTTAAACAAATAAGAGTACTGATTTGAAAGATGCTTTTATTTCTCAACATGATCTCCCTGTACACTGAGGCACTTGTCCCATCGTTTCACAAGCCCCTGAAAACCAGCAGCATAAAATTCTTTGGGCTGCTGTTGGAACCAGGTGGTGACTTCCATTTCTAGAGCTTCATCGTCGGGAAAATGGTCAACCAAAAGATGATGTTTAAGAGGACCGAACAAATGGAAGTCACTTGGAGCAAGGTCGGGGCTATATGCAGGATGCTCGAGGACTTCCAACTTGAAATTTTACAGTATCTCATTTGTCTTGTTGGCAGTATGGGGACGCCTGTTGTCATGCAAGAGCAACACGCCTTTGGTGAGGAGTCCTGGTCGCTTCCATTGAATGGCCTTACGAAGTTTCCTGAGCATGTTAGAGTAGGAGTCGGCATTTACGACTCCTCACCAAAGGCATGTTGCTCTTGCATGACAACAGGCGTCCCCATACTGCCAACAAGACAAATGAGATACTGTAAAATTTCAAGTTGGAAGTCCTCGAGCATCCTGCATATAGCCCCGACCTTGCTCCAAGTGACTTCCATTTGTTCGGTCCTCNCAAAAGATGATATTTAAGAGGGCCAAACAAATGGAAGTTGCTTGGAGCAAGGTCAGGGCTATATGGAGGATGCTCGAGGACTTCCCACTTGAAATTTCGCGGCGTCTCATTTATCTTGTTTGCAGTATGGGGATGCGTGTTGTCATGCAAGAGCAACACGCCTTTGGTGAGGAGTCCTGGTCGCTTCCATTGAATGGCCTTACGAAGTTTCCTGAGCATGTTAGAGTAGGAGTCGGCATTTACGACTCCTCACCAAAGGCATGTTGCTCTTGCATGACAACAGGCGTCCCCATACTGCCAACAAGACAAATGAGATACTGTAAAATTTCAAGTTGGAAGTCCTCGAGCATCCTGCATATAGCCCCGACCTTGCTCCAAGTGACTTCCACTTGTTCGGTCCTCTTAAACATCATCTTTTGGTTGACCATTTTCCCGACGATGAAGCTGTAGAAAGGGAAGTCACCGCCTGGTTCCAACAGCAGCCCAAAGAATTTTATGGAGCTGGTTTTCAGGGGCTTGTGAAACGATGGGACAAATGCCTCAGTGTACAGGGAGATTATGTTGAGAAATAAAAGCTTTTTTCAAATCAGTAATCTTATTTGTTTAACTTCTATATCCTTCTGTAACTTACTTATTGACTTACCCTCGTACATTCGCAAATAAATATTGGTTCATTCTTGTCTTTTGTGCTGAACTTGATGATGGACCGAAGCTCTACCTCAAAAAAATACAAGTTGTTATATGATTAGATTGATTTACAATGTAGCTGCATCGCAGTTTTCAAATGTGCTGAGCAGAAGCTGCACACACAACATGCAGAGGATCAGACAGACATGGAGAATGATTTTCAGCTATTGGCATATAATCATGAAGACAATTATGTGAGATTGGTAAGGCACTTAATTAATTAATTTAAGCACTATGTCATGAAGACATCCTGACAGTTGAAGCTGATAGCCTAGTTCTGTCTCAAATTAAATGCTACAAGAATGTCCCACTTACATGCATAAGTAGATACATACTGTAGATGGTATGAGTGCACATAAAGACGGCATCTAAACTAATATCCAGTTCAACAGAAATTTCCAGTTATGTAGAATGTCCCCTTTACATAAATAAAGAGATACATAAATGGCATAAGCACTCATAAAGATGGCTTCTAAACTAATGTCAAATTCAACAGAAACTTCCAGTGATATAATCAGAAAATGTGTATGTTGTGCTCATAATGTCATTATGGGTATATTCCTAAAATTCTTTCCATGAGAGCTATTCTGTCTAATGTTTCGAATATTGTTGCAGTCTGAGCATATGTAAAATTACTGACTTCACTCTGAAAATTTGAACAAAAAATAAAAGCTATAAAAAGCTAAGTAAAAAAAAGCATTCGCTGTTTATGAAGTCGTCTGTAGTGAGTTATCCTGTGGAGATGTTCTGCTTTTGTAATGATTTTTAAATAAATACAGAAATGATAATTGGCATTGTCAGTGTTTGTCTGAGGAAACAGCAAGGCACTCTAAACAGGATTAGTGGCTGTAGACAAGCTCTTATTTCTGTGTTCATGTGATTTGTATTTATTCATAGGTGATGATTCTCCTGTATACTGCTCATCTCCTCATTCACTTGATGTGGAAATGGAAGGTGGATCCAGACAATTCAGCCATCCCATTCCTCACAGCCCTTGGTGATGTGCTGGGATCCAGTCTGCTTGCATTGGCATTCTTTTTCCTTGACGCTCTTCACCTTCCATACAGCAATTAGACACAAGGAACTACTTGAACTAAAGTCAAAAACCAACTGCTGATATTTAACAGCCTTTGGTGTCCAACCTTTCCTGAAACCAGCAAGGTAGGAAGAAGCAGAGAGTGGTTTAGGATGTCTCTTTTTAATATTGAAAATATGGAAGAGACAAATAACTGCCATATTTTCTGAAGAGAATGTACTTCCATGATGATATTCTCTCAGTAGTAACAGGCAAGTCTGTTGTTTTAATATCGACAACTTTAATGGATGCTTTTATCTCCACCACCATGTCAATAATAACGACTTTTATTACCCTTGCCATTGGTGGCCAGGTTTTCATTCCCATTCATTCCATGTCATGAATTATATCCTTCATTCTTTAATATTCTGCACCACATTGTCATAAAGAAATTTTAATGTTTTCCTAAATGTTCAGTTTTTACCCACAACTCATTGGTACAGCACACTGAGATGGAACATGATCCTTCTGTAATCTCTTATCTTCATGTTGTAAAGTACTGATATCATCTCTACCTTCTTCTTTGATACCATGTCTTCCTTATGGCCACCAATGGTTCAGTACACAATCAACAATTTATGTTCACCTCTGAATGATATGTGATCTGGGCTTGTCAAAAATTTTGCAACTGAAAGAGTGTTACCAGTAATATATAATCAGGTAAAGGATCTGTTGGAGTTATCACCACTGCAGTACTTTGAGTCGGAGTTAAAAAATTACTGAAGTGTCAGCACAGGTATTTTTTGTAGGATGAGATAAGTCTAGCATAACATCCAGATTAATCAGATATGAGGACTGCAGAGTACCTAGCACTTACACTAGAATTATTCGATAAAACGTTGCTGGTGTCATATTGTTTAAGCTTCATGTGACAATTTTCAGCCATTCAGCTCATCCTCTGGAACATTTTGTGTCTTCTAGTGGCTTGCACATTTATAGAATAACTTTCACAATAATGAGCAACTTTTATTGTCATAAGTTACAACATTTGAATACTCTATGCTGTCAGTGACTGAATTAACTCTTCTTAGGTATGTACAAGTACAAATATTTTGAAATTCAGAAACATTTGTAATTTCAATGTGCTTTTTCCCATTTATGAATCTGTGATGTGTGAAAGAAGTGGTTTCTTTATCAATAGAAAATTTTTAGATGGCAGCATATGACAATGTACCCAATTTTGTCTAGTTCTTAAAATCCATCCATCATTGAACACAAAAATGTGAAATAATGCACTATATCTTCCTTAAAACCCTATTCAATAAATATTATTAAAGTGTCATAATGAGGTCAAATATCTAAAGCATTTCTGTTCAGTATTTTTTTTTCAGTATATCTACTATTTATATTATATTGTGGAAAAAATACATAATGTAATGCCAAGGTTTTAATGCAATAAATACACGTGTGTATTGAAAGACTGAAAATATTAACATTTCCATTAATTCAGAAACTCAGAAATCAGATGGAGTAATTGTACTAACAAAATTGTGGTTGAAAATTAGAGCTCATATCTCATATATTACATGTAGCTTTTATTCCTGTGATTGCTTCCTGTATGATTATTCTGAAATTAAGGCAAGAAATCCTTTTCAAATTTTATTTTTACAATAATTCCAGCACAGCCCCAAGTTCATATGAATCTCTACAGCTTAATGAATGTTATTGACCATAGGGGCTGTAACCAGACATATGATAATATTATATGGGGAACACTGGACTAAGTCTTGATCAGAGTTAAAGTCAAGAAAGGAGTGGTTCTAACTTCAGAAAATTGGGTCCTTTATAAGAAAATATTAGGTTAGAATTCTGTTGACAGCATAACATTGTGATAACGAGGTATGCATCCTGTTTTGACAATGACAACGTTAATTTCATAGTACTGTGTGCCTCATTTTCCTGATTCAAATAAATAACCTTCAGTAATGCAGTTTTCAAACTCAGATCACAAGTTTGTTTTCACATGGTAACTTAAGTAATATAACACTTATTTGCTGGCTAGTAGCTCATAGTTCATAGCTAATAATTAAAATGTTTATTGTATTATAAATACAGGTTATTTTGTTACCACTAATCTCTGAACAATATTACTATGAAGACTGGCATCTTATATTTTTCATATTTTATTCTAACAATGCCAACTCCACTGACATTCAGTTAATTTTGTTCTGTTACATTTTATATATATCATGCTATCATTATGGATTTGGCATGCTATTGACAATAAATCTGCAGTAACAGAGAGAATTAAACAATTATACCAAAGCTATGTCAGCCAAGCAGGTGATATTTTATACATGGCAGATGTTGATACCATAATCTGAAGTAAGAATAAATACATGAATCTAAATTTATAGAATTGTAGATTATTTGAATAAACAACCAAGTCATAGCCCAATTATAGGAGGATTAGTCCCAATTGATTTCCCTCCTCATTGGAACATCAGAAATGAGGGAGAAAGTGAGCAAGAAAATGGAATTCAGTGTTGTGTACCCATATCCACTGCCTCCCAAACTCAGTGTTCCTGCCTTCGCCTAATGAATATCATGCACTGTCACAAGCACCAAACTTGGAAACAGAGAGTAAGGTATGCTTCAAGTCAATATCAGTAGACTTACAAGACTGATGCAGCTTAAACATGGTGAATGGTACAGTTTAACATATTTTTGCTTAAGAAGTAAGCTTCTTTACTACAGTAATTCCATGTAATTAACCTCTCTCAGTGATTTATAATAATATGTGCCTTAATAACGAAACACTGACAAAGGCCATAGAGTTGTTTCATAGCTCATATTCTGACTATGACCCCTTTCAAGTAGTTTTGCTGTTAAGATTATCTGAGCATGGCTGATTAAAATTAATGGCCTAAATTAAAATATTCCTTAAATACAATTTCACCTGCAGGCTTAGATAATATTGTCACATGTCACAGTGTCTAAAGATGGGGTTCAGATTGATAATTGATTTATTAACAACCTACAGGCAGTACAAATAATTATAACACTATTGCTGATTTACACAATTTACAATCACTACACATTAATCTCTTCAGTCTATCTGTACTAGTCTTCATGGATTTGTAACTTGGGAACTATAACAGTCTCACTAAATTACACGCTTCAAATATTACACATACAATATATGAAGTCTTCTAATTACACGTTAAGTCTTCATAGGCCGACTTCTAATTCTTCTTGAACTACAAACTTCCCATGACTATCTCGTACAGAGAACTGACTTGCTTGCTTGTCTGCATGATTCTGCCACTACTACTACTTGTAACTCATAATCCCTTGAACGAATTTTGTCACTTAGTTATATATCTGTAGAACGGACATGGACCTACAGTAAACACATGTAATGTGATCACTATCCAGCCAGTCTATAGGCATGTCAATCAGATCTACAGAAAACACAGCTTCCTCTATTTTTGCATGTTGGACCCTGTTTACAGTTTTTGGCTGGCAATTCATTGATCAAATCTGTTCCAATATTTTGTGTCCATAACATACCTATGAGTAAATTAGCTGTATTGTAGTAGGAAAAAAATAGTAACAACAGTAATATTTTAAACTATTTTCTGAGTTTGTGAAACCTGTAAGAGAAAAGTGGTGTCAGCTATCATCCCAAAATCTTTTTAAATATCTGTCTTGGCCATGAGCAAACTGGATGATGTGAACTTTCAAGGTGGGAACAGGGTTATTGCAGTTCTTAGTTTGGTGATAGTTGTTCTGAAATTACGCCTCTTCAGTGAGTTTATAAATTTTAATGTTAAAAAATGAAAATAAATTGGTAGCTGAACAAAATATAAATTTACTTATAGATGTTATTAGAGTAATTGATGAATAATTTCATCTAGGTGGGTAATATTTAGTGCAAATGTGCCTGATACTATGTGTGAAGTATTTGTTCTTGGCAGTTAGTAACATCATGACAGCATGAACATCAGAAGTTTTATCTGCAAATGGATACCATACTCATTCAGTGTGCTTGTTACAAGTATACCTCACTTGTATGTTTTTATTCCAGAGTATACAATACCAAAATGATCATTTTTGTATTAATTAGTGACTGTGTTGCAGATTATGATATTCTTGTTTCATAAGGTAATATAAGAAAACGGTGCCTTCATCATTATCATTTGTGTGTGTGTATGTGTGCGCGCGCGCATCTGCACAGGTGCACACGTGCGTGTGCATCAATGCATGCATGTATCTCAATAATAACTTCTAAACCAGTTGCCTTACTTTCATGGAAATGTGCATTAAACCCCCATATCTTAAAAACACTGTACAGACTTTTAATATAGGAACAGCATAAGTTTCATTCATTTTGTTACACTAAAATTTTGCATGGTCACAGGTGGTTCAGTTATTTAGATAATGTATGAAAAACACGAAAACCAAAGAGAATCGGTTGAAGCAAAAACTGTATGTTCTAATTCAGTGGAGAAAATTGTATAAATTCTTTTTCAGGCTAGCAAGCATTTCTTGGCTAGAAATAAATACAGAATAAAATTAAGCATATGAGCAGTCCTGAACAGAATGTTTTCATGGAAGTCATGATATAACTGTAAGTAATGTATATCATTTTTTAATATTCAAAAATGTCTGCATCCGAGAACAAGACTGACAAATAAAAAGGAGGTTAAGACATTTAACTCAGGAAACCTTCCATATTTCACTTCAGAAACTCTTCTCACATCTACACATCAGTTTCCTAAAACACTAAAAATGTGAGTGTGTCTCTGTGTATGTGAACAATAAATTTGTTAGTTGTTTTGTGTGGTTATCAGACATGATCTACTACTTTGAAGGCTGAACACAAACAAATGATCAGGAAAATATTTGGAATTAAAATGATGTGAAGCACATGGCAATTTAGGATATTAAATAATGAGGAATGTAATGTTTACTGGTCACTATTGGTTAGGAAAGTGAACCTGAAAAGGCTGTGATGGACTGTGTATGTAGTTTATGTGGAGGAAATAAGAAGACTCACAAATTCTTTTATGGAGAACCCTCCTTAAATGTGAATGAAAATGGGAGATACCATATGCTGGATTGGTGTTAGTGTAATACACCCACCTATTGCCTGATTAATTCATATTGTTTTAATCTTGTTCCATATTCTAGTCTTGCTGCAGCCAATTGACATGTAGGTAAGTCAGTTTAAAAGTAAATCTGCCACTGTCCCTAAGCACCATACCAAGTAAACATGTGGGGGAATGGAGGTCTTCAAACTAGATGCAAATTAATAACTGAGTATCAGCTGCAGTCCGGTCTAGAAAACCGAGTTTAATGGCTGTGGGGATCTGTTGCACTGACCATGTGGTACCCTCTATCCACAAAAGTTGACACTAAATTCGGCGACAAGCGGTGGTTGCTCAGTCGGTATAGTTCGCTTGTGGACTACAGGCCACGGAGTTTGTCTTTTCTTGTATCAGCTGCAGAGGTTATGTGTCACTGAAAAAAATGTGAAAGTGCTTATGGGTATGGAATTAGAAAATATTTTAAAGAAGCAGTTTGCCCAGTTCCAAGACTACTGATGTGGACATGCTGAAAAAGAATCTTGGTCAATATCCAGAATGAGTACCTGTAAAATAAAAGTCAAACATGTTTCCTCTGAAATAACTCTGTTGTTTTTGTGACAGTTATGAGACCTTGTGTATTCACAGTTTTAGTATCTTATTCTATCCGTGACAATTATGGAGGATTAATTTAACTGTGTGAGTTTAACTGGCATATAAATGTAGTAACTTCTATAATACTTCCAGTGAAGATAGTGAAAGAGTTAATTTTGACATCCCATAAAAATGATATAATTTCAATTCACATGATGAAAATAATGGATAGTGTATATAGATTGGAATAGTCTGTTCTGTAGTAACTGTTGGAGGTTAACTAAGTCTGATATTCTGAAGTAAGAAGTTAATTAAAATCACTGAAATACAACCAAATAATTTTATTGTATTTGTATGAGTATAAACATAAATCTCTCAAACAGAATATTTCTCTATGTACTTACCAATAAATATGTATATATGTCATGTGTCATCAGTCATTTAATGAAAACTGCATAAATTCTTGTTACAATTTATAATATAAGTAAAAGGTATGGAAGGTAGGAGCATTTTAAGAAGAATATGGAATAATATGGTTAAAGTCTATATTAACCCACTGTCATATACATACACACACACATATACATATGAATTGTGGAAACTTCTATACTCACAAATAGCAAATGTTTCAGAATATGTAATTGGTATTAAAATGTGTATAATTTAAAGAGGCAGTCCATGAATGGGGCTGGGGCAAACCCAAATGGCACACCAGGCAATGAGGAATTCAGTCTCCCTGTCTAGTTAGAAACATATCAACTTTCTGAAAACTTTGTTGCAGTCAGTAACAACGTGATGAAAATGTAATTTGAATTGTAATTCTTAAAACAATTTTCTTCATGTTGTTGCATAATATGTTTCAATTACAGCATTTAATCATCATGATATAAGCAAAAGGGCAGTAGAAATTGGCATTTATTTAACAAAAGAAAAAAAAGGGATGTTGTAAAATATGTTGCTCCAGAACTGTGCTGAACAAGGTGGTGGCTTGGTTTGTGTGCACTGTCACACTGGCCCTGTCTATGAATCTGTTCTACAACATGCAGCAAGCACAAATATCTTACTGAAAATACGAAGGAGTCATAGGTTGAATTCTACAAATCTAATACCTTAAACAGTGATGTTCATTTTATTCAGCTGGAGTGATTTGAAACCATTTGACTGAGGAATAGCAATAAGTAATGGTGTCTCCATTCTTGGAACTTCAATGAGTATGATATTTTGTAAAAATTTGAATAAATTTTACGATTTATAACTCAGAATTTAACAGACTAATGTGTTCCATAATCTGGTCTCTCCTGTCAATAATTTAAAATTTGGTTCATATGCACACAAAATATCATGTTACAGACATGAAGATGCAGTTCATTAACTCACCAAAAGCACTGTTTATTTTATCAACTTGTTGCTGGTTGTGGAAACCATGCTAACAAAGGACAGAGGGCCATATCTGCAAGAATCCTTCAGGAAATTCAGTAGTCTGTGAGTTCACATCGCTTCCTTCTTTAATTTTATTATAGTTTCTGTAGTGTTTATGCTACTTACCCATGTGGTAATTCTTACATGGACTAAGAATCTGAAAAAATGAAATCATTGTTTTAACATACTAGTCCTAGAAGGAAACTAATTTTCCTCTGCAATATTTGTCATATACACATATAAAAGTGAGGTTCGTCCTTATGAAACATTAATAATAATTTTGAAAATGACACCAAATTTAAGGTACTACTTTCTGCTTTGAACTGCACTGGATAAGTCAACATACTACAAGTAGTATATATATTTTCAAAAATATATCTTCTGCACTCTGCTGATACTACATAACTCTCACAGTTGATAATATTTTGCCAAATGCCTAGGATTCACTTCATCATACAAACACATGATGCTAGTTGCCCTTCTAAACTGTGTAAGTTGATTTCCCATGTGGATTTATATATATATAAAAAAAATAATCATATAGACCATTACATTTTTACCTGTCTTTTAGTTTTCCAGCTTATTCAGCTATACATATGATGTTTAGATCTGAGTGCAACATTTACATGGCATAATATATCACATTAATAAATAATAATTAACAAATAATTAGAAAAGCATTGATCAGGGTTTAAACAGAAATCTCTGTGTTTTTCTTCATGATATCTATATTATGAGGAGTAGGGGTAGCACAGTCAGTATAGTGACTGGCTACGGCCTGCATGACCGAGNACTGCTTTTATTCTCTTCAGGAGTCTTCTAGTAATAGCAATGGACAGTAGTTTGGTGGCTCGGAGTTAGTTTTGATGTGATGTGGATGAGTATAGATGATATAAGTGCATGTGTTGCATTATATAAAATTATTGGGGGTTGTCTTTCAGGGTTGCTAAGCCTCAGCCAGGGGCAATGATCCTAAGATGATTGTATGGTTCTTTGTCTTGTGTATTGTTTTGTATATTTTTAAGAGCTCTTGACTTGTAGTGTATAGATGGTTTTAACTGACTTGTCCAATTGTTCTTGTGCAACAGTTTATGGATTATGAATTATGAATCAATGCTATTAATGAAAGAAAACTACTGCTTGCAAAAAGGGTGTAAGGAATCAGTACCAGTATAGTTAAGGCTTACAATCAGATGAAATGGTGTACCTCATTGAAGTTAAAAACTGACACACATTCATGAGTGTACATTAAATGCATATATGAATACCTCGCTAATTAAACACATCTGTTGAACAATCTGACATGAGATATGCCATCATAGATCTTTGTGTGGGTCATTCATGGTGGGGGTGCTGTAGATACATGTCAGATATGTGGGACAAAAAATCTATAAAGTAGCAGTAGGTTAAGTGGATTTAGTTTCAAAATATGTTTTCATAAGAAATTCTCAAGAGCAACAAAAGACCCGTAAAGTTCCTAATAAAATGTCTATTATGAGTGTACCATCAGAAGTGACAATTTGGTTGATTACAGATCAACTTTCCTACTGAATCAAGAAAATGCTTGTACATGATGACTGCTGGTAGGGAAAAAGAGCACAGTTTACAGATGATTGCCAATAGATGGCATAGTAGTAATTATATTACATAGTTACCAACAACATTTAATTTATATGCATGATATCTCATCACAACATAAATGACAACACAAAATTTTGACTATTCTTTACTTAATGGCAGGAACTTCTAGACCAACCTCCTTACTAGCGTCAATTAGAATCTCTGTGTTTTTCTTCATGATATCTATATTATGAGGAGTAGGGGTAGCACAGTCAGTATAGTGACTGGCTACGGCCTGGATGACCGAGGAGTCAGAGTTTGAGTCCCTGTAGGGTCAAAAGTTTTCTCGTCTCTACGTTGTCCAGACCGGCTTTGAGGCTCACCCATACTTCTATCCAATGGGTACCACAGGCTCTTTCCCCGTGGGTAAGGCAGCCGGAACATGAAGCTGACCACTAACCCCCAACTAGTGCCGATGTCAAGAAAAAGTGGATCTATACATGTACTCCCCCAAATGCCTTCATGGTGTAGTGCTTAATTAGTTGAGCACAGGGACACCTTTACCTTTTTTATCTATGTCATCACCCAGTAGAGTCATGTCATCAGCGTAGACCAGCAGCTGATGTGTCTCATTTAATTTCAGTCCCACCTGGCATTACTGGATGTTCCTAATAATATATTGTAATGGAAAGTGGAAAAGGAGAGGTGATAAAATATCTCCTTGTTTTAGACCATTCTGGATAGGAAAAATGTCGGACAAACATTTACCTATATGGACTTTACTATACGTTTCATTTAAACACAGTTCAAGGAGCCTAACTAGTTTCATGAGTACCTCAGACTTTATGACAATATTGTGCAGTACTTCCCTCGTAACTGAATCTTAGTCTTTCTGTAGCTGATGTACTGTCTCATTGTACTACCATTTTTTCTCCAGTTTTTGATGAATGTAAAAGATCTGATCAGTAGTTGATCTGTTATGCCTAGACCCACACTGATGATCCCCAATAAAATCATCCATGTATGGACTTAACCTTGAGAGTAGAATATTAGGTAAAATTTTGTTTGAAGCTGATAGGATTGATATCCCCCTATATTTACTACAGTCAGTTTTATCACCCTTCTTGTGAACTAGTACAATAATAGATTTCTTCCACTGATCAATTCTTCCTTATTCCAAGTAGAATTATTTAGCTTTTGAACCTTAGAACGTAATATTTCACCACCTGCTTAAATAAGTTCTGCTGGAATTTAATCACTACCTGGCGATTTATACATTATAAACTTTGCAATAACAATTTAAACCTCAAAAGGGCTAGGATCAGGTACTAACAGATCAGCTGTATGTATTTCTGTCTGTCTAACATCACTAACCCTTTGTATGAGTACATTAAATAATTCAGAGAATTAGTTCTTCCACCTATTCAAAATGTTGCGAGAATCTGCAGGCAGATCACCATGCTCATCCTTCATTAAGTTACTTCTAGGTTGGTAACCCATCTTAAAGTCATTTATTGATTTCAGCTGGTCCAAAGAATTTAAACACACACACACACATACACACACACACACATATACATACATACATACATAGCTGTAGGAACTCTGTGTAGCCCCTGCAGATTGTTAGTAGTTTGAATAACTTTCCTTTGGGTCATTCATTGCCGGCATCATTTGTGTGCATGGATAGCCGAGGCCTGATAATGTCTTTTTCAAAAGCCCAATGCACATTCATAGTCTTGCTCTGTTGGTGAATTTTCTGATTCTCCTGAATTTTATGAGTTGACGGTGTTTAATAAAATATATACATGATAAAATGCAAGTGAGAAAAGTTCCAACCAACCTTCACAGCTGAGGGACAAATTTGTGGAAAATATGTAAGAGAATTCCTCTAGTCTCCATGAAAGTCTTTGACAAAACTTGCTCAGTAATGTGGGTTGTCATATGGAAGTATATTTATAGCAAGAAAGATTTAGAAGCTTCATTCCTATCCTCTACACATCATGCATGAACTGAAAGAGAACAACAAAGATAAAACTTTCATATAACCCGTGGTTTCAAAATTGAATTCCAGGTGTTTTAGCTCTTCTGGAGAAAGTATATTTGACAGATGGCCGTGCCATAGCTCTAGCGGTTAGTCACTGACTTCCCACCGCGGTGGCTCAGGTTCGATCCCGCATCTGGTCAAGTGGGATTTGTGGTGGACAAAGTGGCACTGGGGCGGGTTTTCTCCGAGTACTTCGGTTTCCCCTGCCAATCTTCATTCCACTAAATTCTCCATCATAATCACCCAGGGCAGGTACAATAGGCCAATCAGTGGCCGCCATGCCTAGTGGACCCAGCTGGACTCCACCCCCCACTAGCGAATTAAAAAAAAATTGACAGATGTTGTTTGCTTACATGTCACCTGATATGTTAATAACTAAAATAGCTGAGTGTATAGTGCCGCAGATCTCCATGTTTTCCATTGACAGATGTTATACTCTGCAGTAAAGGTAAAGTTGTCACTGGGCTTAAATAATTAAGCACTACGACATGAAAATGCAGTATTGTGGGAAATTTAACATTTCTGTGTAAGTGATCTCTATTTCTCTATTGAAATTGTAAATGCTGAACATATCAGAAACCAATCAGACAATTGAGTCTCCTTCTGGAAGTTGGGTAGCAAGAATACTGATTCCAGTAGGCTAGAGAAATAGTTCTTATGGCAGACTGAGTAAAGTGAAATTATGTCATTCTTTGATAGGAATATTATTTCTTAAAAACTGTGGCCTACATGTCCATTTACTTTAATTTTATTTTTGAGGATTTTTAAATATATTGTGGTGCACAGATGAACTTCATGATTAAAGAATACTCATAGTTTGCCATATCACATCATACATGCAGGGAATATATTAAATGCATGCAACGCCAAAACCAGTGCAATTTTCCATACTTTCTTTAGCAGTAAGTGTGTTTTTATTTAAATAATGCTGTATCAAACTTTTAACTGTCAGTTTTAACACAAATAGAATTTTGATATCATTGGGTACTGTAAATTTTCGATCACTCTTTGTGTATCATGTATCATGCAGGATATGAAGAGCACTATCATCTCTCCTCCGGCTTCAGAGTCGAAGAAGGAGAGCTCTGCTTGCCACTTAATTTCATGCTGGTTTCTTGCTCAGCTTGTCCATCAAACCTGAAGTTGCAGGAGGTGTTTTCCTCCGAAACGTCGTTTTACTTTAATGGACTACGTGGCATTTTATCGCAGACAATAGTAGCCTACTCTTCAATTAGAGTTACTCTTCCGATTTTTAAGCATCCCTTTCACAAATGGACAGCCTCTACATTACAATCACGCAGGCATCCCCTAATGTAAATCAGGACGTTTTTATAAATTTTTATAATCGATTGGTTGTCATTTTCTTTGTATGCCACCTCTCATCAAGACTATAATCATCCCCTTCACGTAAAGGTGGCAATATTTTATCTGTTTTAAAAAAAGACCAGTTTTTCTGGGTAGTAAATTTAGATCAAGAATGGGTGCATACTTCATATTAATAAAATCTGTTTATTTTGTAACATTTAGGCCTAATGCACGACTGTAGTACAGTTCACGCTAAGGACAGAAGCCAAGTGGATTGACATTTGCCCAAAAATATTGTTCTGGATTTTCTTATAACTTCGTAAACAACCTAAAAACGTCTATTTGTATTGTTGCGGCTGTTAAAGTTAAGCGAATATGGCCACATATTTACACCAGAAACGAAACGAACCTATCTTAATTACGAGCATTACAAGTATTATCACTGACAGGTAAACTGTATTTTGTGCAGTGGGTAGTGCAGGCTCCGGCCGAGTCCCACCGGGCTCCTCGCGCACAGACGGAAGGGCGTAAGGATGACAGTATGAATAGCGCAGTGCCATGAACACACACCCGTCCTGCTCTGCAATGGAGACGTCTCGGTGGCCCAGAATAAGCAGATGACAAGCCAACGGTAAGGCCATGTCTTGTAGTCACAACACGGTGGTTTCTGTTTAATCTACCCTATATATCCACTTCCCCATATGCCTTCATGGCGTAGTGCTTAATTAGTTAAGGACAGGCCCAACTTTATTTTCACCTACCTTACCATTTTAGTTCGTCAATAATTCGGGTGTTGTTTTCTGTTACTAGCCTTGATAAAAAAAACTAGTACAAATAAATCTACTCTGTTGGGTCCCTTCTAAAGAGCTAACATCAGTCACTGGGCAACCTATGTCAGTATAACTTCAGCTATGCCAGACTCTGGACACTATAAAAAATCTAGTAATTCTGAGTATTATCCACCATCGTCACAACTCTTTAGAATCTACTCAGATCTCATACTCAAAAATATCGTTCAATGACTGCGATGATTTGTATCTCAGAACCACTAATTAATATGATCTGTCATGCTTGTGTTTGATTACTGATATATTAATAGACTGGCAAGGAAAATAAGATGTGTTTTGATGCGTTTCTTTCGTATTGAAATGCTTAGTAACATGATAATACATCATTTACAAAGTTTAGCAATTTAAGCAAGTGAAAACGCCTTCTGGCAACAGAGTGGACCCATCTTAATGAAGAGAAGTTCAGCTCACATTCGGCTGTGGGTACAATAGTACGAACTCACGGGTTTTGTTGGGGATCGTGGGAATCGCTTCCACGAATCTTCCATTCAAATACGCGTAGCCCTCATGTCACCAGAATGGTGGAGCATGATCCACAATTACTATGCTCCCAATTGATGAGAACGAGGGTCAGAAGCCTTCCTACCGACACAGTAGTCGAGGCTATGTGCTGTCACAAACATAAGTGTTGCTTCTCAGAGCCCAGTACACGAACATTCTTGTATTTTATGCAAAGTACACTCTAATCAATGTAACTTACTGTAACAGAACTTAGGCACCAAGGTTCAGCGAATGAGAGAGCTGATTTTCCGCCCCGTTCCAACGTATATCATCTTTTTCAAATTGATAAGCTGGTGAAAATGAGCAGGCTCGTCTAAACAGTTCCAAGCCAGGAAACAAAGAGTTCCCAATGATAGCTGCTGCATGGAATTTCCTTTAATGTACCTAGGTATTCGTTTAGTAGCAGTCGCGATTTTATCTGATTTCGTGGTACATATTTAGTTTTCCCCCCTTGTTGGTCCTGAATATACCACGACTGCTCCCAACGCAACATATAATATTCTACTCACACAAAAGGTTGATTCAGCGTCCACACACTCGCTGTAAGGAAGCATCTATTCTAATCTTATTCAAAACATCCTCTAATTCGATATTTTTAGTTGTTTTGCTCAGTTCTTTCAAGCATATGTCAAGAAAGTTAATTCCGGGACCCTCTTTGACCATTTAATAGTTATGTAACCGATCAAAAATGCTGTATATGTAGAAACCAAAAGATCATAATCATTTTAAATATCCCAGCGCTGATTCCAATCTTCTCTTGATGTGCTATTACATTCTGTGCCGATTCACTTCCCATAAGCGTAAATTAGATATACGTGTATATTTGGTGTTACCCGCCATTGTTGAGGGTCGTTAAGAACTTATGAGTATGTAAAATCTTGAAAAGAAACTCTTTTCTCAGACATATGTGTAAGTATTTTTCCGCAGTTACTACAGCCGTTTCTCGTGACATCACGTGTCCTCTTCAATAATAAAACTTTAAATAATCCACTCATACACTGAGCAGATGCAATTCATTTGGAACGTAACGCGAATAAACTGTTACTTCTATCTTGAAATAGGCTACTACCGTTTCCTCGCATGCCCTTCCTTCGCAGTACATCACAACTAATTGTGCACAATAAGTACACCATATGTCAGACGAGCGTTCTAAAATATGTTAAAAATTGATATCAGTCACAATTTTAATGAACGTCTTGAAATGATTGGTGCATGCCCCGTTATCCACAGTCTCGTGTCAGTCAAACTCTGATAAGGCCAGGCCACGTTTCATTCAGCCTCGTTCAGTTGGTATTTCAAGTTAAGAAAAAGGATGTTCAGGAAGAAGGTAATAAGGAGGTCAGTTTCATACGTGCCATAACACAATGTATTGTTGTTTGGAACCAACGTAATATTAACGTGAGCATGTAAATTCAGTTCTCGCAGTTCAACTCAGTTTAAAATCAGCTGTTAAATATATTAATATATGTATAACATTTAGCTTAATATGTTTTGTGGAAGTAATTAAGGCGGTTTATAGAATGGACTCAAAGACGTGTCAACGGCTACACTATTTGCTCCTGAAATTAAATTGATTCAGCTCTGCTAAATTGATATGTTTCTAATGACGTCATGAAGAACTTTTCTTTCGAAACAGGATGAACTGTGAAGAACATTATAGGCCTACAAGATACAATTCATGGAATTTCTTGTTAGATAGGCTCAATTATTGACGGTGACGAAGGACGCAAAATTATTTTTGTTGTGTGCCTTAGGTCATGTGAAAGCATTTTGTCCTGTAGGGATAACGAAATGTAAAATAAATGCCCCGGTCAGGCCGGTTCAGATGCTGGGTTCTAATATTTATTACTTGGACGTACTGTAGAAGTCTGACACGAGATCACATGGTCACCATCATGTCTGTAATTGTTTGGAAACAAGGAAGGGTTCAAACGTAACACGTAAGAACGTTGGTAACTGATTATGATGTCTGTTTCAATGCATTATAAATCTTCGGTTACTCGCCTCGCCGCGGTGCTTGGTAAGGCAAATAGGAAAAGTTTTCGCTCTGCTCAGCGAGCTAAGCGCTGCGCCATGAAGGTGTATGGGGGGGTTGTGGATGTATAGACCCACATTTCTTGACCTCGGCACTGGTTGGAGACGAGTGGTCAGCTTCACGAATTGGAGAGGAAGTTGGGTGGACTCCAGAGCCTGTCTGGACGACGTGGAGAAGAGAAAATTATTGACCCTACCGGGACTCGAACACCGAACACTCGACCACTCAGTAGTCCAGTCCGTATCCATTCACTATACCGACTACGCTACCCCGGTTCCTGCACTAGTGCCCAGTAATTAAATAAATTGTTGCTGCTGTAGCTCCTAGCATTTTAGATTTAATCACTTTGGCGTCAGGTAGAATTTTTCCTGTACTGTTGCATATGGGGTTTCTGTCTTTTGCTATAAGTAAGAACACTTTAAACTGATTAAACATACGAGTTCCTTTGTCATAGTTGCTTTTTATTGTATTGGATTTTTGTCTTGCGCGAAGATCAAGTTGCATTCTATAAAAATATTCAGCCGGTTTGTTAATGAATTTTTACGGTTTTTTTTAAAGACGCAGGTGAAATTTGACTTACTTCATATTTTCGTCGGAGACTGTTTCATAGCGCAAAACACATTGAGGCCGCTATTTATCCATGCATATAAATATTTGTCGCAGTGTTTAAGATAAATTTCTTTTTTACTTGCTTATTTTGGACTTCACCCATCGTCTGGTATGTAAAAGACAAAAAGACAAAAAACCACGACGTTTCGGAGAATGGATCTGTCTCCGTCTTCAGGTGGATAGGGAAGGATAAACCTACTCAGTTGGGCCCCTTAGAAAGAGCTAGTCCAGTGATTGAGACTAGCTCTTTCTAAGGGGCCCAACTGAGTAGGTTTATCCTTCCCTATCCACCTGAAGACGGTGACAGATCCAGTCTCCGAAACGTCGTGATTTTTTGTCTTTTATATACCGGACGATGGGTGAAGTCCAAAATAAGCCAAAAGAAGTACAGTATACACCATCGTCAGAATCCTTTCAAGTCTATATGTTAACATTTGTTCTGTGATATCTAGTTTCCCTTTCAAAATTGACCCAGATTTAAACTAATTATTCATAATTATTAGGGGTTTATATGACGAGGTATTAATTCGAGGCATGCATGTGCTGCAAACAAACACTAAAGCTAAATAAGCTTACAGACACTTAGGCACTCTTCACTGGTAGAGGTGGCTAATCCCTTTTCTTATTCTGGACACAGGACAGTATCTGATTGTCCAAGATTGAACGCCTGCTGGACATAGGCTATTCATACCGGGTACTGTGAACGCCTAAAGTGCAGCTCTGGTTCACCAGTCGTGTCCCAGAAAGGCGTATGGTGTCTTCAGTACCCATTCAGAGCTTATGCTCATTGGCGGCTTAACTGAGTTATAATTCCGGAAACAGTTGCGCACATAAAAGTCTCCAACAACAGTGCCTGAAAACGCGTGGACAGAATATCACCTACAATATTATATCTCAGAGAACAAAATCATTGTATACTGAGGTAAGCACTAGTACGTTTTCCCCTGGAGCCTTTTCAAACGTTGAAAATAGCGCACGGATTCCAGTATTATCTTTGCAGGCCCCCAAGAGTTTAGGGACCCCAAATTGGGAACCACTAAATAAGTCTTCACATTACTTAATTAGAAAACCTGCAGTTCTCGATTTCCGTCAGCTATTTAGAACACGTCCACACACAGAGAGAGATAATGTTGCAGTCAGATTCTTCGTGGAATATTATGAACGGCAGACTTACCCGCATCTGACGTCATATATTCTCTAATTGGTTTCCGGTAGTTCCTTTAATCATCTCTTGTTCTTGCTATGAAATAGACTTACGTTCCTAAAGGCTGAAGAGTTGATTGCGGACATGGACAATTAAAAAGTTTTCTTTGTGCGGGCAGATCCCGGTCGACAACCGATTCAAGTCTGCAACTCAAGGTCCACGCCAATTTAGTAAACTCTCAAATTGGCTGTAAATAGCCTCGCACATTTCCGCTCTAGTGAGGACGATTTCTTGCTTCCATATTGAGATGCGCTGGGCATTCAAATGTGTATGAAGTTAAAACTTATGAGTTACGAATGAATGAATCAGTGAATAAGCGAATGCATGGACGAATGCATGCCGTGGGTTTATATCCGAATGAAAGACAGGGATGTGTATGTTTCCTCCGTTGTTGCTTATATGAACGTATTTTTATTAGCTCGCATTATAATCAA